GAGAAGCTAAAATAAAACGGGGAAAGTACGTGGCGCGTAAAGCCTTTTGTGGAAAAACAGCTTGCTAACATAAGGAGCAAATAGAGGAACAAGTGAACAACTGCCTGTCCAAAAAAACTATAGAGGAACAAGTAAGCAAACTTGCGCCTAAAGGAAAGAAGAAAAGCTCAAAATTAAGGAAGATGATCATAAAATTGAACTTGTCATACAATACAAGAAAATAAAAATTGAGCAATGTTTACTTCAAGGTTGCTTCTGTTGGCTATCTTTTTATTACTCCAATGACTTTTACACTTTTATTACCATACAATGTACTTTGTGTGAAACTCAAGCACACTCATGTTTTCTCTCAAATTATTATACCTAATTAAATTTTGTGCTCCATAAAAGTGGTAAATTTTGAGACATTTGGTAATGGCAAATTTACTTTGGAAAGGGGTCTTTGTTTTATTTTGGGTGGCAAAAAGGAGATAGGCTTTGAAATATGAGCCTAATTTTGAGCCCTCACTAATTTATCTTTGTGTCTTGAACCTTTGACAATTAATTTTCAACATTGACCCATAAAATGTTTAAAATATTTTATCATATTATACTTTATTAATTAATCATGTGATTTGGATTATTAATAGTGAGAATATGGTCAAAGGTGTACAAATTGAGTTTTAAAGTTTTATATATATAGATATTTGTCGAATTCATGTTCTATGCATGTCTTTTAATGATATGCACTAATCATCATCTATCTATTTGTTCATATTATTAGCATATCTCCGTCAAAAAAAATAAATATTATTAGCATATCTACAAATGAATTAATTTAAAATATTGTAAGAGTAAAACATTTAATATTATATTCTTTTAAAAAATAAGTTGATCTCATAATATATATTTTTGATGGAATATGTATCTTTTACTCATTTCGTTTCATTTTCTTTTGAAAAATAGTTGCACTTTAATATTTCTTCTCAAGGATCAAAATCCATTTTCGTACTACATATTATTTGCCAATAATTTAATAATTCAATGTATTTATTAAAGTTTCTGTAAACTTATGCATATCTTAAAAGATGGTTATATAAAATGGTAGGAGCATCATTTGGACTTTAATGACCATTAAGGATAACATGGACATATTATGTTGCTATGTATAATGACAAAACACTGAAAAATGTACGATAAATAAATAAGAAAAAGCGTCTTGTGTCATCATATAACAAAAGTTAAATCCTCATACTAATTCAATAAGTTGATCAAACATTTAGTTGATTACAACTATTGACACAAACTTATGCATGAAAATTTAATCAAGCAATTATTTGACATAATAACAATTGTTACCCCATGATCCAATGATCTTATGATCCATTCCATAAAGTTCAACTCACTTTAGGTTTTGAGGTCTTTCAAAAGTTTAACTCACCTTTTATTCTAAATACTGTTATTTAAAAATCCATTCTACTTAGGGGTGAAAGTTCGGTTTGCGGTGTGGTTTATAGCCCAAACTAAAACCAACCCATATTAATTCGGTTTGGGACTTTTCAACCCGCACTGCACCATATTACTATTTGGTCTAAACCAAACCACATCATATTTAATTCGGTTTTTTTCGAAAAAGAAAAAAAAAACGCAATTTTGGGACTAGTGTTTTTGGCTTTGATTTGTAACATTTTTTGGGCATAATTTTTCAAAACCTGTGTTTGGGCTTGATTTAATTTAGTTTTCCAAAAATAAAGCAAAGAAATGATATATATATATATTAGGCTATTAACGAATAACAAGTCCTAATGACGGCATAAGAGTAGTTTAGTTTTTTTTTTTTTTTTTTTTTTTTTTTTTTTTTTTTTTTTTTTTGCTTTTTTTTGCCCTTATATACGAAGGGGATTGGGCTTTAAGTAATAAGGAATTGGGCCTAAATTTCGGTTTGTAGTTCGGTTTTCGGTTTTTCTAAACCCAAAACCGAAATCAAACCGCAAACCATATTTTTATTTTTTGAAACTAAACCGCACCATATTAAAAAAAGAAACCGAACCATATTGCTTATTCAGTTTGATTTGCATTTTAGTTCCAATTTTAACCGAATTACTTTCACCCCTAATTTTATTCATTAGCAATTTAGCCTACCCCTCTAATCCAACATTTTTACTTTATACACCTGTATTTAATTTCACCCACCCGCCTTTTAGTCTTTTATTGTACATCTCTTACCTTATTAAATTTTTTCTTACATTTTTCTAAACTAAATTAGAAATTAGAAATAAGAATATAAAGTAAATTACTCGAACTTTCGATATCAAAGTACGGGTAGTACTTATAACGCCCAACTTCTCTAGTAGAGTTTCAAATCGATATGTTATTAGCCTATTAATGATGACATAATGTTATTAGACAATTAGTTAGAGCTTCCCTTTCATTCTAGGGATCATGAGATCAATTCTCATCATCCGCACGATCGCACTTGTAGCTTTCTAATAAACACCAAAAATATAAATACTTCGTAATAGACTTGGCAAACGGGTCGTTCGAGTCAGGTCAATTTCTGGTCAGCAAATATTCGAGTCGAGGTCGGGTCGGGTCAATTCGGGTTTTGGGTCAGCACTTCGGGTTAAGTTCGAGTCAGGTCAAGTTCGAGTCGAATTAGTTCGGGTTGAGTCAGTTCGGGTCGGGTCAATTTGTAGGACCAATTTTGGGCCAATTTCGGGTCGGGTCGATTCGGATCGGGTTAGTTCGAGTCAAGTTAAGTTTGGGTCGGGCCACCATAATAAATTCAATTAAAAAAAAATAGTTGGAAAAATTAAAAAAAAAAATCGTTAAGAAAATAAAAAAAATCGTGAGTACCTATTACTTGGAAAGAAAGAAGCCCTAAAATAAGTAATTCACCATTTCACCCTATTCATTTCAGGAATCGGGTCACTTCGGGTCCGGTCACTTCGGGTTTAAATCGGGTCGGGTTACTTCAGGTCGGGTCAAGTTCGGGTTTTGGGTCAATTTCAGATCGGGTCATTTCGAGCATCAAGTCACGTTCGAGTCAACTCCATTTCGGATGGGATCGGGTTAGTTGGGGTTGGGTTATTTTGGGTCAATGGTTTTGGGTGAACTTTTGTGTTACGAGTCGAGTCATTCGAATCGGGTCAGATTTCCAGGAGCTTTGTTGTTAAGCTCAATTGTGGTCGCAATAGTTTTAGCCTCCTTTGTGTGCTATGGGATTTAAAGCGTATTTTGACTCATGGGCCTCACTGCTTAAGTTGAAATAAGGGCCTTGTTTATCCATGAGATTCTAAGGGAAGGCCCTTCAGCCATATTCTTTGTTTTTGGTTAGCTTAATGATGACTTAATGAGTTGCTTACTTACAAAAGTAGAAAAATAAAACTAGTCGATTCAAAATTTATCCCCTTTGTCAGCACTAAATAATTTACGTTTGTCAATTTGATTATAAATAATTAATACTTCGTATAATATTATCTGTTAGTAAAAAATTAAAAAAACAAAAAAAAAATTAATTTGATATTTTAAAAGTTTACACTAAGAATAATCAAACATCAATTATACACAAAAAAATTTATTCTCTATACACAAGTAAAACATGAGCTCAAAAACATTGTATATGAGTAATATTAAATTCAAACTATAACCATAATTGTAAGAAAACAATAGCATCATATTTATTGTTGCAACCAAAACCCTTAAACAAATATTAACACTTTGATAAAGTGACTAATAATATGGACATATTATACAAATATTAACACATTGTTAAAAGTAAATCATCTATATTAAAGAGGTTAAGGATTTAAGCTTTGATATCAAGCAGTTATAAAATTTCAAATAATAAAAGCCAACTACAGAAAGAATGTAACTCAATTTCTTAGACTAATATACTACTTAGTATAACTCGTCTTTTAATTTTATTTATGCATCACACACTCAATTATAGGCACTGAGACATTATCAAGTAATATAATCAACTACTAAAAGTAATCACAAGAATTTTTTATAATTTTATGTTATATAAGTTTTATTGTAACTTCTCGTTCGTGCATTAATAGTTTCAACACTTTAATATCATTAGATAAAACCCATCATTTTAAAGCATCACACAGTTATTAATTATTTTAATTGTGATGCATTACATATAATAACCTTGTTTCATGAAACAATATAATAGAAAAACCTCATTTAATTACAGGCATAACACATTTAATGTAATGACATGCATTGACAAAACTTAACAATGCTAAACATTTTTTAAATTAGATAATGACAAATAAGTGTTAGATTTAGGTAAACTTATGAAATAAAACCTTGATTATTTTTGAAACAATACTATAGAAAAAATCCAAAATAAATAATTCCCCCACAAAACAAAAAGAAATAGGAAAGAATTTAATTGATTGCTTCCTTTCATCTCCTAACAAGAAAGCTAATCTAGGAGTGCAACTTTTGACAAAACAAAGCATCAAAATATGGATATACATGCATTAACGTGTTCATTGTTCCACCAATCTTTCTCCCTCCTAACTTCACCACCTCCCATTCTTCCCCACTTGAAATTTTCTCATCACTTGTCTATTCTCATTTATGTCTATTTTTTGTACGTACAAATATTTATTTCCTTTTACATAAATAATTCCACTATTCTATAAAGATTGCTCCATTTTTTTTACGTATTAAACTGTTGTTCTTTAAAGATTACCCCATAATATTAATATACAAGAAGAACACAACTTTACTCTCACAAACATTACTTAGAAATTTCATTAGTTTTTTGTCTCATCAATTTCACTGGGTCAAAACTTAATAAATTATTTAATAAATAATAGGGCAGACAATCGAGAATGAAGAGCATTAAACATAGATCAGTTAGCAAACGAGTAGCAACGTCACCATAAATATTTTCCCCCACAAATCCACGTTATCCTAATATTGTTAGTACTACGTGTATTTTTTACGTACTCTATATATATCTATATTCCTTGAATTTATATAAATACATACATAAAAATGAGACATGTTTAGCTCTATTATTCATATCCTCAAAAAATAAGAATTATACTATCTTATATTATACCTAGATAGATCATGGCTCAACCTGCTACTTTGCCTCTTCTTCCTCTTTCTATTTCTACTACAACAGGAAATAATAGCAACCTAGGTTGGTTTATGTTTCTTAAATTTTAATATAAAGGAATAAATAATTTTACTTAAATAATTATTACATCTTGTGTTTTAATATATGAAATAATACTAAAGGAACAAAAATAAAGAATTTTTTTTGGGTGTTATGCAGAAGAGAGTGATGAAGAATTGTTTATGGTGCCAGATATGGAAGCGGGAGAGGAAGAGGAAACAAAGATGATAAATCAAGGAAGTTTGCAAAGCTCGAATAGTAACAACAATGGTGGCGAAGTAGCGCCTCCTAAGCGTAAAAGAGGCCGTAATCCTGTTGATAAGGAGTATAGAAGACTTAAGAGGTTTGTTAATAGTTAATAATTGTGTTGTTTTCAATTTAAGTCATGATCTATGTAGGGGCTTTTTTTTTTTTTTTAAACATAATAACCAATAATGATTTAAGGTAATTAGTTCATTGGAAATTAATTAGGTTTAGCACTAATTTAAAGAGATATTATCTTAGCTATTAAGAAGAATTTGACACTTAATTTTTTCAAAAAAAAAGAAATATAAAAAGGTAATGGCAATGCAAGTACATTAGATTATTTTAAGATATGAGAATGAAAGGTGGAACATAAACTCTAACATGAAATTTAATGTACTATAAGTCTATAATGTACCTCAATCTTCTATTAAAAAAAAACAAAAAAAAAAACAAAAAAAAACAAAAAAAAAAAAAAAAAAACACTGTACCTCAATCTTTATCCTTAAATAGCCTTCCAATTGATTAAACACATATAGTTAGGCATTTGTTAAAATAAAAGAGAAATAAATACATGATTAAATTTGCTCAATATAATAATATGTTAATAAATCATATCATGGATTTGTGCCGATTGGATCGATTGAGTCTTAATTGAGCTTAGATAGATCTAATGATTTTTCTTGCATTGTGAGATCATATGTCACAACAATGAGTCCTTGAGAAGGATTGATCGGTTCCTCCATTACTCAACAAAATGTTTATTTGGTGTAGAAAATGCAATTGGGAGTGTAATGATTTTTCAATAACAATAATAATAAAACTTTATTTCTTTACCTTATAGGTCCGATAAATTTTGGGACTGAAGCTTTGTTGTTGTTGTTGTAGTAGTAGTAGTAGTATTTGTCCGATAAAAGGGTAAAATAAAGAAGTAGATTAAGAATTAGAATTAAAAAAGAGATCTTTGATATATATTTATATATGGACCACACATTATTGCATTGTTTTGAGTCTTTAAGTGGATTGTAATTTTGTAATCATGCTAAGCAAATATGGTAGTTATCAGTTTGTCATAATTTTATCTTGAAGATCAACAAAGTCATTTAAGCAATTTATTTAGTTGTTCATAATATATGAATTGCAATTTGCAAAGCTAAATACACCTTTTACATACAATATAATGGGAGATGAAAATTCAAAGCTAAACCTAATATTATCCAAAACCTTGTATACTTCATAGTTATTTAAATCTTTATTTATTTATTTATTTTAATTTGAACTCATCAACAAGGCTTACATATATACACAGTATATTTGAATATGCTTCTTTGATATTATGGTGATGTGTTAGTTTTTTAGCCTTTCCTTTTTCATACATGCAATAATTGTATATTTCTATCAAAGATTTTCAAGCCAAAAAATCAAGACAATAAATTACTACATTTTGGTGAATATATGATATATGTGAAATTGTTTGACAGATTGCTTGAATAATATTTGTTGGGCGTGCAATATTGTGTTATTGTCAACAAAAAATAAAAAAAAAAATAAAAAAACAATCCCTAATTTTAATTTCTAAAGTTGTATTGTTTGATGGGCTAGGTTAGCCATTCCATATCAATAGAACGACTATATACATACCAATCACTTATCTCCTCCATCCCACTGTAGTCGGTGATTCAATGTGCAAATATTTGGAAACTCGATCTGTTAGTAATTAGAAATATAGGGTCTATTCGGCATCACTGTGGTTTTCAGTTTTCTGATTTAGAAAGTCATATAATATAATTCATGAATAGAAAAAAAAAATAGTCAAATTTATTAAAATCATCATTATTTTTGAAAACTGACAATAAAAAAGTCCAAACCACATTTTATGGTTTACTTTTTTTGTTTTAAGTTTAAAAAAAAACAGAAAAATAAATAAAAAAATAAATAAAGACGAACGAACCCATAATTATTTGTTTTTGAGTGAGTCTATTGAAAACAATTTAAAAGATGGTTATTTTTTACTATGTACTATTTTTGAATAATAATGTTAAAGGGTTGTTTTATTGGTTGACCCCGCTTGCTAAAATTACCACCATTCGTAGCATTCGACAAATAAAGAAAGTCAATCAACGAATTATATAAGATCAAATCTGTGTCTAACCTACTTATACAATTAAAAGTTAGATTATGTAGTAATGAAAGAGTAGGATATTTTGTAATGGAAACTACGTTGGTTAAAATGCATGCAGGTTGTTAAGGAACAGGGTGTCTGCTCAACAAGCTCGTGAAAGGAAAAAGGTTTATGTGAACGATTTAGAGTCGAGAGCCAATGAATTGCAAGAGCAAAACTTCAAATTAGAAGAGAAAATTTCCACTCTTGTTAACGAAAACACCATGCTTCGAAAGGTACGTATATATGTTACTAATTAATATATTTGATAGAGTATAAAACATATTTTTAGAGTCTCAACCATTAGTTTAAATTTTTGGTTGAGGCCCCAGGAATATGTTTTATACTCTATCATTGATAATATAATTATAGCCTTAAATAACTTTTTTTTGAAAGACAAATGATATACGTAGTCCACAAAGTGTATAATATAAGAAGATTCAAAAGGAAAGATTACGAGTTACACAGTATTAAGCATTATATAATAACATTGGCTGACACAACACAAGATTTTGTTATAAATTCTCAAATTCATATCATTTTAAAAAGTGTATTTAATTCTTATGTACAATCTTAAAAGCTACTTCGTATATACGTACCTGTATCATATACGAAGTAGCAAGCCTAAAGTCCTAATGCTTAAGTGCCTAACTGTTAGGCGCGGTGAGTCGCTAGAAATGCCTCACTGGTAACTTCTTTAATTTTGAAATAGAAATATTGTTAATCATCATAACTTTGGCAAATTTGTTACCTTTAAATTCATCAAAATTTGACTCTAATAATAACCAGTCGCACCTACCAGTCGATGAAGTGTAATAACGTTGTTTGGTAATAAACTTAATAATTGACACAAAAAAATAAAGGAAAAAACAAAACTGTTTTGATACATTCTTACGAAGTATATTCATGTATTTATTTGTTTTGATATTATTGCAGATACTCATGAATACCAGACCAAAGACTGACGAAAGTGAAGACCCCAAGTGTTCATAATTTTAAGATTGCTCGCATTTTTACTTTCTTATTTTGCAAATTTCTATTTAAAGATGTAATTTGTAAAATATTTGAGTTATTTACATACAAAAGCTTATATATAGTTTAAGCATAGATACATAAACTTACCATCAAATATACGAGGCTAACTGTATGCATGCATGCATGCGAATTTTCAATTTTCTTTGGTAAAAAGGGTTGATAAATGTACAATTATTATTACTATTTATATCGTTATAAACTCTAGACAATTTTTTAAAAAATTAAATATTATTGTGCAGCATATGTTTCGTGTTTCATACTTTGATTTGCGCAATATTCATATATATAGGTCATGTTTTATTGGACTTCTCCGCAATTAATTACAATTCAATTCTGTTTAGTTCAATTTAGCTTGTTTATGATCTATGAATAAGGAAAATTACAGTCATGTGAGATCTTTATTAAATTCGTTGCGCCTATTTTACTTATTGACAATTAAGCACATTGAAATAATGCAATAATGTATTAGCAAACGCGATATGAAAAGTGTTGCAGTTTTAGTAAAACGAAGGAAGTACAAGTCAGTATCATAGTATGTGTTATGACCTTTTTCCTTCACGACTTTGTATACTAAAACATTAAATCACTAATTTTATACAATTAGAATTACGGATGTAAAAAAAAAAAGAGTGTGAGGTTCATTGTTATATTTTAAAGTGAAATGATTTTTGGCCCAAGCAATCTGAGATGGATTCTATTCAAATGAATTGATGAGGTGTTTCTGCGTTGGTTTGATCTTACTATAACTTTGATTATATATATTAACATTATGCTAATATATATAAAAAATGTTGATAATTTAATTTCGCAACTTCAGTACGAGTAAAAAAATTCCATATATGTGGCAATATAAAAATATCAATCAATTAGAAGATACGATTTGTTTAGAAATGTCGTAAATTGAATATATGATCTGATTTTAACAAGAATGCTTAAATAGTAGTTTCTTGCATGAAACTAGTTGAACTACACATAACTTAATTGGATCAAAAAGGACAAGACATGTCTTTAAGGATTGCCTTAGCTAGTATCCCAGGACTCGTTATTGGTGGTAAATTTCCTTTGATTGATGAGCCTTTATATAAGTCATGTCCATTGAGGTTTGTGTTCATTGAGTAATTCTTCATGTTTTTTGTTTTATACTTGATATTAAATGGGTGCACAGTATGTATTGTGCATACGCCTCCACCATCATATTTGCATTATCTCTCCCAGTTACCATAAGGAACATAGAATAAATATCAATAAAAAATAATATCTGAAAACATATCTTAAGGACGCCCTAAAGCGCTCATGGTTTCAATTCAACAACAAAAATTATCTTCAACTCCGACGCAACAAAACCCGGCCCCCCTTTTTGGTTGCCATCCACTTCCCTGTCCATCGTTAGCCTTTAACCCAGCCACATTCCCACCTACCTTTTTCTCTCTTCATTCACTCATAATATTTATTTGTGTTTTAAGGGATGTAAGTTGGATGTGATCAAATTGAAGATTTTTGAGAGGGTGGGTGGAGTTCGTTATTGGGGTAGGGTGGGTGATATGATGTGGGAGGTGGGTTGTTAGATCAAGGTTAGGTTGGGTGATTTTGGTTGGGTTGGGTTGGGTTTCGAGGTAAGTTGAAGGTGGGATGGGTATTTGAGTTGGTGCATGGGGGCAGTTTTAAGGTCGGATGAAGTGTTTTTGATAGAGTATAAAATATATACCTTGGCCTTAACCATTTGCTTAACCTTTTGGTTGAGTTGGTCCTTTAACATGGTATCAGAGTCAGTGTGATACAAAGGTCACAAGTTCAAATTTCATCCATCCCCCACTTTCAAGTGGAATATTTCGCGTAGGGTATGCGGAGGGCCCATGCTGCATCCACATTTCAGGGTCAACAAGCTCTCGTGTGAGGGGGCATGATAGAGTATAAAACATATTACTAGGCCAATCATCGACTTAAAATTTTGGTTGAGTTGGTCCTTTAACAAGTTTCAAGGTAGGATTGGGTGGTTTTGGGTTTGGGGCATGGAGGTAGGGTTGGGTTTTTTTAATTATTTTTTTTCATGGGTGGGTGTAAGGTAGTCTTGGATTAACAATGGTGGTTGGATAGTGGTTAGGTGGTGGTGGCTGGGGTTGGGGTATTGCTTTTATCAAGGTTTTATTTTATTTATTCAATCAAGCCTGATTTAAACTTGTTCAAACTCAAAATATAAATAAGCACATTCGTGAACAAAGCTCAAACAAGTATTAGCATCATTGACACAAATTACCTCACTAGCTGAGTATTGCCCCAAGCGCAAAGATGTTTTCTTTTTCTCTCTCTAGCTTTCTCTTTCTCTCTGGAAACTCATCAAGGGTTTCCCTTCTTGTTTAGGCAAGAAGGCCTTGGGAGCTTTCTTTTTATTAAGAGGATTGTCTTGTCCTAATTCCTGCAATCTTTCTAGCTTTCTTTTCTTAATGGATATTTCATCCTCACAAGTTCATCTACTGCCTTCCTCATCTCGGGTGATTCTTGTTACTGGGATATCTTAATGGTTGAGAATTGTGATGATAATAGTAACAAATCAGTTGATATTGTTACAAATCAGAACATGCATCCTTCTTCAGATGGTGATGCAATGGAAGGTGTTGTTACTGCTGCTAGTCCCTCAGCAACACCACCTATTCAACAAAAGGTGTCTTTTAGAGAGGTTGTCAAGGCTTCTTCTCAATGGTTCTTGGAGGCACGGAAGATCGTTATTACCTCCACTGAGTGGGAGGATGAGTCTTTTATCCCTCCAGCTCATGCTAAAGTTGTATCCTTCCCGAAGGCTAAGGCATCCGTGGAAACTAACTTTGATGGGAAAATGTTTAGGTATCTCTGTTAGGCCATCCTTTATAACTCAACGTGTTAGAGCGATGTGGAGGTCAAAGGGATCTCTAGAGGTAATTGATCTAGGCAAAGATGTGTTCCTTTTTCATTTATCAGTACAAGATGACTATGAAAGGGCTCTTCTTGGAGGTCCATGGTTTATCTTGGATCATTATCTAATGATTACGAAATGGAAGCCAAACTTCAGGCCATCAATGAACCCTTTTGACAGTATGACTGTTTGGATACGTTTTCCGGAATTACCAGTGGAGTACTATGATAAAGAGGCGCTTTTTGATATTGCAAAATTAGCTGGTAAGCCTTTACGAGTTGATTATGCAATTGATCACCTTTACTCGAGCTAGATACGCTAGAGTTTGTTTGGATATTGATCTTACTTCTCCATTGATCACTAAAGTTTGGGTGGGTAATAGTTGGCAAAATATCGAGTATGAAAACATTCAGTGTCTTTGCTTTATTTGTGGAAGAATTGGCCACACCAAAGACCATTGCAACGACAAAAAAAAAAACAATGAAAAGGAGATTATTTCAATCCCAATTTCTCCTAAAATTCAAGTTAACATTTCTGATCAGCCAACTACCTCCACCCCCCTTGTTTCAAGGGTCTTGGTTCCCCACTTTGATTCTGAGTATGGACCTTGGACCATGGTTACCAACTAAAAGAAAATGGGTACTTCGAAGAATTATAAAAAAACCTCTGCCAAACCAAACTAAGCCAACCCATCTTAGTTTGGTTTAGTTTACTAAGAACGATTTACCAACTAAAATGGTTCTAAGAATTTCTCTTCTTCAATTAGAAATTCTTCTGCAATTCTTGATTCCAATACTAATATTTTAAATAATGAATTTTAAAAAAAAAACAATGATGAGCTTCTCCTAGAAAATGACAAACAAAACCCCAAAAATCTTTCAAATATCACCCTTCTTTCTCACGTTTCCCCTTCCTCTTCCAATTTCTTCCCCTCAGTTCCTTCTTGCCAAATGACATCCACCGCCTCGAGTCCTTCAATGGCGATTGCAATTTCCTCTACCAATTCATGCCTTTTAAACTCCCCTTCTCAAAATTTAAACTCACAGAAGAAACCTTCCACAGACAAATTCTCAGAGAAATTAATTTCAAATGGAGAAAAACAAAGGGAAAATAACCCCAATTCGTCCTCCGACGCGATCAGGGAGGATTTCCAGACGGAGATCCTCATCGCCTCCGCTGATAATGCCGCCGTTGCTCCAAAACCTCCATTCATCCGCTTGCCTTCGCCCTCTGCAATGCAACCCAATCTCCTTCCCTCAACCTCTGTCAATAAGAGTTTCGTTCTCTCCTTACCCTCAATCACCCCCAACCACCACCTCGCCTCCCCTTCAACAATTCTTTAACTTCATCTCAAATCAGTTCCATCGTTCAACCGACCATCCCCCAGTCGACACCTCTTCTATGGTCGTCAATAGAAACCCCTCCGACGCCGGAGAAAATCTCAATGATGTACAATACCCTGCTTCAAATCACAAAATTGATCAACAATCAGCTATCTCAAACACCATCCTCGCCCAAACAACCTCAACAGCTTCGCCCATGGTATCAACAACAGGTTGCCTGGCCGAATTACCCTCCTCACAATCTAATCCCTCCTCCTCAAAACCCTCAGGCAATTCCTCTTTTGTCGGAAAACAGCGAGCAAGATCTCGAAATCCCCGATCACCATATGAAAATTATATGATAAAAAAAGAGGTGGTGGGACTTCAAATAGAGGTCAACTTCTGGGAGACAACAAACACGATAAGGGAATTAAATTCTATGGTGATTCCATTGAAAATGCAAGATGTGGTTCTGATGGATCGGAGCCAAGCCTGGAAGGATTGGGATAAGTTTAATCCCCTATTCTTAATGGGTCAACCTGTTCCTTCTTTTCCAGATTTGAATATGAAGATTGTCATGTGGAATGTAAAAGGAGCTTCCAGGAATGAGTTTATCCCACATGCATGGGAAGTGATAACGGCCCACAAGCCGAGTATTTTCATTTTACTGGAAACCAAAAGTGATGGTTGTCATGTTGCTGAAGTTTCTAGATTACTAGGTTTTGATCATTTCGAGTTTATCAAACCTAATGGTCTTCGAGGTGGTATTTGGCTACTGTACAGAGATTCTGTTGAGCTCATTGAGTATGTGGAAGGTCATACCAGAAATTACTTTCATGCTTTGTTTAAGTTTAGTCCTGAAGCCAAGGACGTTCTTTTGATGGCTGTGCATGCTCCTTCTTCACCTACAGAGAGGCACAGGCTGTGGAATGAGCTTCAAGCTTCTTTACCTCCTGATGATGCTCCTTGGCTCTTCCTAGGGGATTTAAATGAGGTCACTGGGCCTTCTGAAAAATTGGGAGGTATGAGATTTAGACAATCTCAGTGTGTTGATTTAAACCGTCTTGCTGATGCTGCTTGCTTTGTTGATCTTGGTTTTTCTGGAAATCCTTATACTTGGCATAATGCGAGGGAGGGTTTAGATTTAATTCGGGAACGTTTGGACAGGGCTCTAGGGAATCCGAGTTGGCTGAACACCTACCCTAACACCCAAATATTTCATCTTGCTCGCACTTTTTCTGATCATAATCCGATTCTATTGTCTTTATTTGATAATCATAGGGGCGGCCCTTATCCCTTTAGATGCAAGGCTACTTGGTTAGAACATCCTGACTTTAAGAAATTTTTTGTCAAAAATTAGTTTCTGCATGATTATGATTTCTTAAAAGGAAGGGATGAATTTCTCTTAAATATAAAACATTGGAATCATGATGTCTTTGGTAACATTACCAACAAAAAGAAAAGAATAGTGGCTAGAACTGATAATATTCAGATTGCTCTGGCTAAAAATTATTCGACTTTTCTCATTCAGTTAAAAAAAGAATTACTCTTTGAGCTTAATCAAATATATAAAATTGAAAGAATCATATGGGCTTAGAAATCAGGTTTGGATTGGAGAAGGAATGCTGATTGTAATACTAAGTATTTTCACTTAATAGCCAACATTAAGAAAACTAGAGGAAAAATTTTATCTTTAAAAGTGATGATGATATTTGGATTTCAGACTTAAATACCTAAAAATATGGCCAGGAATTATTATTATACTGTTTTCAAAAGTGTTCCTATTAATGAAACTCTTTTACGATCTTATTCTTATCCAAAATCTATTGACCCAACGTTGATAAATGATCTAGGGCTCCCTCCTTCTTTAGAAGAAATTAAATATGTTCTCTTCCAAATGGAGCCCATTAAATCTCCAAGACCAAATGGATTACAACCTATATTTTACCAAAAAAATTGGATTGCTCTGGGTAATTCGACACAGAATTTCATTTCTGATTGTTTTATTAAAGGCTCTATTCCAAGTTCTATTAACGACTCTAATATTTCTCTTATTCCAAAGTGTGACAATCCTTCTAATATGAAGGATTTCAGACCAATTGGTCTTTGTAACTCCATTTACAAAATTCTAACTAAATGTATTTCTAATCGTTTAAAACCTTACATGAATTATCTCATTAGTCTGTTTCAATCCAGCTTTATTCCTAATTAATAGAACTATTGAAGAATATGTTATTATTATTAAAGAGGTTTGTCACCACTTTAATAAAGCTTCTAAACATGCTAATCTTATGGCTTTAAAGATTGACCTATCAAAGGCTTTTGATAGTTTAGAATGGAGTTTTATTAAGGGTACTCTTCTTAGTATTAACCTCCCCTCTAATTTCGTCAATCTTATTCTAAGTTGTATTTGTTCTCCTTCCATTTCTCTCCTTTGGAATGGAGAGATTACTAATTCTTTCAAACCTTCTAGAGGTATTCGTCAAGGTGATCCTTTATCTCCTTATATTTTTGTTCAGTGTCTTGACGCCTTTCTTCTATGATTCAACAAAAGGTTATTCAAGGAGATTTGAAGCCTATGAAAATTGCCAAGGATATTAATATTTTACATCTTTTTTATGTGGACGATGTTTTTCTTTTAGGAAAGGCTTCTTCTAACATTCAGGTTATGATGGATGTTCTTGATCACTTTAAGAGTATTTCAGGCCTATCTATTAATATCATGAAATCATCAGCCATCTTCCCTAGGAAGATGAACCATAGAAAGTCTATTTGTGATATTTGCAATATTACCAATACTACTTCCTTTGGCAAGTATCTTGGTATTATCATTTCTCACAGCTGCACAAGCGTTTAAGTCTTATGGATTATTTTCTATTATTGGATAAAACTTGTTCTAAAATCAGGTTGGCAAGCTAAACTCTTAAACATGGCCGGAAGATGTACCCTAATTAAATCTGTTTTAAACTATTATCCTGTTTATGCTATGCAAACTAATGTTCTTCCTTGCAGCGTTCTTAATGAACTTCAGAAAAGGTGTAAACAATTCCTTTGGAATTGAGTCAATCGTTCTAGATATATCCTTTATGGCTAAATTAGGATGGAAAATTTTACTCAACCGCATAAGCTATGGGTTCAAATCCTTACTTCTAAATATTTAAAATTTTCTAACTTTTTAGATTATACCATAAAACCTTCTGACTCCACAATTTAGAAAGATATTTTTTTTGGTAGACCTATTCTCAAGAAAGGAATTATCATTAATATTGGGAATGGTGATGACACTTCTCTATGGTATCACCATTGGATAGGAGAGTGTCCTATTTACCTTATTCCCAATGTCAATATTCCTGATTCAAAAGGTCATTGGCGTGTTTCCAATATCATAAGAAATAATAAATGGTATTTAAATGATGTTTCTCATATTATTCCCTCTTTTCTTTGTTCATTAATATTAGCTTATCCTCTTCCTACCCTGGTTCAGGTTTCAGATAGGCTAAAATGGACCTTGGACAAAAAGGGGTCTTTTACTATTAAATCGGCTTACAATTCCAATAATCCTATCTATAATATTAACCCTTCCTTCTTATCTAACTTCTCTTGGAAAATTTGTGGAAAATCAGAGTTCCATTTAAGTATAAAATGCTTATTTGGAATCTTGTAAGGGATATCCTTCCTGTAAGTACTACTCTCCAAAAGAAAATCCCTTTCTTTGATCCCATATGCATAAGATGTGAAGCTACTCTTGAAAACACTATCAATATATTTAGGGACTGCCCTAATTCATCTGCTTTTTGGTCTTTAGTTTTTCAAAAATTTGCTCCTGTAGCTTTTGATTATGACTCCTTTTATAATACTAATCTTTCTCCTTGGTTATCTTTTAATTTCACTAATGACTATACTTGGAAAATTATTTTTGTGGTGGGTATTTGGCATTTATGGAATACTAGGAACATGGCTATTTTTTAACAAAAAAAAAAAAAAAAAAAAAAATGCTTTTTATAAATTCTACTTTTAATAAGTTCTGGGTGGATTACCATCACGCTCTAAATTTGAAACAGGGACAAGTTGGCATGTCCTCCTCTCCAAAATCTATTCCCAGGAGATGGGCTCCTCCTCATAAGGAGTACTTCAAATTGAATACTGATGGATCTTGAATGGGCCTGGACAATGCTGGTGGTGGTGGAGTTTTGAGATGTGAGAAAGTTCTCTGGCAAATTAGGTATGCTGTCAATTTCAATGCTATGACTTATGCTGCTGCTGAGCTCTTAGCTATCAAAGATTGGGTTACTCATCGCTTAGGCAAGGGAAATCAAGTTCTTGGAACTTGAAACAAATGCTAAAGCTTTAAAGAAGATGTTGGAGGATCCTGATTCCTTCAAAGATCATGATCTGGTATTATTAGGGATGTGGCTTCCATTCTTAGAAGAAGCTGGAAGGTTATCATCTTTCATGTAAACAGAACTGTCAACCGTGTTGCTGATAAACTAGCTACCATTGGTGGATCAAAAGTCAGATAAGGAGAAATAACCCACTACCATTACCCTCTCGTTGAGTTATTCGAAACATATGCTTCAGATATCCTAGAGATGGTGGCTCCTTAGTGCTGCTCAAGTTCAAGGTTGTGCGCCTAGTTCTTCTTTTGACTAATATGTGTTACTTATGAAGGATTTCGCGACCTGCCGCTTATCTTTAATTGCTGCATTTTCCTTTTATGTAGTTTGTTTTTGTGTTAACCCATGGTTGATAACCATAAACTCTACTATATTACATTGATGTAATATAAGTATTTCCTTTCCGTGTCAAAAAAATCATTGACACAAATTTCTATACCATGAAAAGATGACAAAATATCATCTAATCATCTAGAAGACTTATAAATGAAGACTTAGAACTTCACTCCTCATAACCACCGAACCACCACTCACGCCAAACCACCACTCACGCCTAACCCCTTAACTTCCATCGAACACATGTCAAAATAATTTGTTTTCTTTCAATCCATGAAGACTTTTCGGCCCCCCAAAATTTGTTAGACAAATAATCCTACATTGGTGATGAAATCCATATGATCCATAACCCTACCAATTTATTTATATGAAAAAGTTCCATTACCCTACCATAAAACCCCCTATTTCTTCTCATGCTACCACCGACAAGATACAGATTTTTACCAAAAAATATGGTATTTTGGTTCTAACAAGATCAAACACTCCTTTTACCAAGAAGAATGACAAAGATTTTACCCGGGAATATCGCCCAATTATAAAATTAATTCATGCTAACAATATCACTGTAGCACATCGGTGCAACATTAATTATTATAAGATTTTTAACCTATAGTTTTTATGTAATTAATAATAATTATGAGTAATGAGTAAGAAGACCAACATTTCCGTGAACTACAACTGTAAAGTCCAGCTGCATTCACATTTCTCACCTCTTTCTGTTTCTGTCACTTTCTTGGTGGCCCATTTCACATCCATTTTTTTCATTTTAAATCACAAATTACTTTCCATTTCTATGATAAATCTTGCTCTTAAAAAGGGTATTTTTTTAATTTTATTTTTCTTAAATCATTTATATTCTTTTGAGTGAGATTTAAGCAGGATTTAAGATATCCAAAATGGGAAATTTGAGGTTATTGTTTAATAAACCCATGAAAATTTTCTGGGTTTTGGGTGTTGTTTTTGTATTAATTTCAAGGAAAAGAGTTGATTGTTTTGAAGGATTAAATGTGACAGAGATTGTTTATGATGAGCAGAAAAATGGGTGGTCTAATAGACCTCTGTTGGTGGGTCTCACTCTAATTTCTTCTGCTGCTGCTAAAGGAGCTGGTATACTACTCTTCATTTCTCTATTATTTTCATAATTATTACTTCCTTTTTTTTTTTTTTTTTTTTTTTTGTCTTTTGAATTATAGTTTTATTTCTATTTGTCAGTTGAATTGCTTTTGCTATAATTTATTTGTAAGCATTTGATTTTCTGTTGCATGACTGATTTATTATTGTTTTAGTTCAAATAGTTTGCAACTTTGCAATTTTGCATGCATGCTCAATTCATTGATGTGTAATGTCTTCTTAGATTGGATGCCGACTTTTCGATACCAGAGATCGAATCTCGTTTACATATTGTCTTTTGTGACTTACTATACGCCAAAAAAAAAAGTTGTTTAACTTCCTAGAGCTTCAGTGTAGATGTCTAAGGATTTGTTATGCTAGTTATAGTTAAGCTGCTTAGATTTGGTCCTAATTACACGCATTTGTACATTTGCCTTTGCAAGATGAATCGGATGTATTTTTTGGAAAGTAGCTTTATAAAGATGTCAAATTTGTTGTGCAATTAGAATTTTATGACTAGTTCCATGTTTGGGAAGGGACTATATATTTGTTAGAATTCAATGTGTTGTCTAATTCCTGAAGTGTTCATTCTTAATTGGATTGCACCGCGATCACTTTCATATGAACATGTAGTCATTATTGCACTGTGATCACTTGTACATGAGCATGTAGTCATTAAAATCATTCTAATCACTTGTACATGAAGTCATGAAGATCTAGTCATTAAAATTGCCTTTATAGATATGATTTTCTTCTATGTACTTGATTCGGATTGCAATTGCATTTTAGCTTGTAAATCTACATTTTAGCTCAAGTGCTCATGCTGGCTACTTGACAATCATATGAATGTGTATGGACTATGGACACTTCAATTTCAGTCAATAAACATTGTTTTAATGCATGTATAACAGAAAAATGTAGATCTCATGTCCATATCATAACTTTGGGCACTAGTATTGGTGTCCACATGTCTTCAAGACTTCAAGTTGAGATCTTTTCATGTCACTCTCGGATCCATACCCGAGTCTGACACTTTTATCTATGGTCCAAGCATCACACTTCATATATTAGACACTGTCATTGCTCTCATTGGACAGCCATAATAGCTCCATATAAAGCACCTCATTGATCTCAATGTGCAGTCTGCTTGGATGGATCATTGCCGGGATACCATCTCCACCGTGGATTTGGATCAGGGGCAAACAGTTGGCTTGTTCAACTTGAGGTGCGTGAAAAAACTTGAATATTTAGCGACATGTTGCTGGCATTGCTGCTCTTCAGCTGGCATGCTCTACAAGTTGGAATCAATATCCCCCTTGTTGGCTGCAGTACTGATTTTGTCACTTGAGATGATAACAGGGGGGAGGATGGTGTGATACAATAAGAAATTGTGTGTATAGAAAGAAAACACGTCATGGTTCCTCAAAGTATATGGAGAAGTTCATACCGTTTTCAGGATTACTCAGCAATAAGCGTTCCGAGAATCCTGGTATATGTTTGTTCATTTACTTGTTATATCTTCTTTATTCTTTACTTATTGATTTCTATTGGATTTCTGCTCTATCAATGGACTAATTTTACTTCATTAATGAGTTAATGGTTTCTGCAGATTTTTACAATTGGAACCGAGTAAAAATTCGCTATTGTGATGGTGGCTCATTCAGTGGGGATAGCCAGCATAAGGTTTGTAAAACCATGGTTTATTTTACTGAAAGAAATTGAGGATATCATAAAAACACAACATAATTCTAGCCAATTTAAAATTAATACTATTATTCAAAAAAAATTTAAAATTAATACCAACTACATATTCTGTTAGCAATATTTGCATTGTCAAAGTTACTGTGATTCTTGTTTCCTTATACTTCAATTGAATGCCTTTTTTCGTAGGGAGCACAATTGTACTTTAGAGGACAGCGTATATATTCAGCGGCTATGGAGGAGCTAAAGTCACTTGGGATGAGGCACGCAAATCAGGTAATGTTTCTTTTGTTCTGGATGGAACCTATTTATGTGTATCTGGGCATCTGCATATGTTGACAGTTGATTCTACAGGCTCTTCTCTCTGGATGTTCAGCTGGGGGTGTGGCGTCGGTACTGCATTGTGATGAATTCCGAGCATTATTCCCAGGGCATACAAGAGTAAAGTGTCTGAGTGATGCAGGGTTATTCCTTGATGCGTGAGCTCCTATTACCTAATTGACTTATAGTCATTCTCTCCCTCTTAAACTTTTTTTGAAGGAACCCTCCCTCATTATTTAATCAGACTAATATATTCCTGTAAAGTATTTTGATGACCATTGAAGCGATCAACCTTTTTTCCATGGATGCAATAATTTTTCTTTTTTTCCCCATTGGATGAGTATTTTACTGTCTTGCAAGATTATTTATCAAAAGAGATGGAAATCCCGAATTATTTCAAAAGTGAATACTCCGTAATGTATCATATGCACAAAGTTAGTGCTACTATTATTGTAGAGTTAAAAGTGTATGAAAATAACATACAAATGAAAGCATGACTAACACAATCTTATCCTGATAAATGTAGTTGGAAATTGGCAATGAATCATTTTTAAATGCGGTGATCTATTAGTTATATGATGTCTGTCGAACAAAAAGAAATTATCTATAAAAAAGGGAAATCGGAGCTGGAATATGAGGAATGGTAGAGAGAACCCGCTAACAAAAGGAAAAAGAAAGCATCAATGGCATTCATGATTTTTTACAGTTGTATTTGGTATTACAGAGTTGATGTGGCCGGTCAACGCACTATGAGAAAATTATTTGGGAATGTTGTTCGCTTGCAGGTATTATTCTGAAATGACTTAGTAGATATAGCTCTTATGCAAGCATGTGCACCCTATGTTAAGTGTTAATTACTTAGTTGTGTAGAAATTTGAGGGATACATATGGCAAGGCCTTTTACAGCCATACGTCATCCTTGTTATCCTTACTTTAGGAGTCAGCTTCATGATCACATTCATTGAAAGTTCTCTCAATTTTGTAAATTTTGTTCAGTTAGACTTCCTTTCCCATTTGAACAGAATAAATGTGAAGTTTGTGAAACCTCTTAATAAGCCATCTATTTTCTCTTCTTTTTCCACCTTTTCAGTTCTATTTTTTTTAGATACTAAAGTATTTTTCTTTCTTGTGAAATTTGCAGGCTGTGGGTCCACACCTTCCTCGCAGTTGTACTAGCCGCCTTAATCCTATCATGGTAACATATTTAGCAAGCAAGCATGTTATATGAGTTAAAAATAGAATTACAAACATTTTTATGCCCCAAGCCTAATCTTCTGTTAACTTTCTCTTCCCCAGTGTTTCTTCCCTCACCGTTTAATAGCAGATGTTAAGACACCATTATTTCTCGTCAATGCAGCATATGACTCGTGGCAGGTTTGCCTTTTGATGTTTTGACTTGAATTCGTTTCAGATGAACTGTGTCTGTCACTGTGTGCATTGTGAATTTTATTCTGAATTTGTCGTGGTACTAGTGTCTTTCAAAAAGAAAAGTGTGCAGACTACTATGGCGTCACCTATTTAACTATGAATTTGGGTTGAATCAGGCAATCAGCATCATCTAATAGAACTTAATTTGTGGATCTATTATCAACAGTTGCTGGGCTTTTGACTGCCCTCCACATCTTATTATCACTTGTTAAAAAGTGTCATTCAGAAACTAACTACTAAGACCATTTAAGTAAATCATTCTTAGTATGTATTAACATACCTTATGTAGTGCATTATGAAGTAGCTCTTATCAGAGCTAATGTTCTTGCTTGACAAGAGAGTTGTTTTAGTATTTAGACCTAGAACCCATGGTGCCCATGGCCTCACATTTTTTCTTCGGGTCAAGGCCTCACCGGAGAAATTCATGTGATAATACCCCACATCTTTTTGGTTAGTTATGTCCATTGCTCTGGATTTGGGACCAGAACTAGACCAATTTGAAATGTTACTGTCTCTGTCTTGTCTTTGCTGTGTAGTAAATACATGGAAGGATCCTAATTGATTGGTTGATTGGACTTTTCAACTATCTCTAGACTGCATTAATCTTGCCACCTTTATTCATTTTTTTTTTTTTTTTGTTTTTTTTTTTTTTTGGGTATCTGCTATTGTTCTAACAATCCTTACTTCGTATTATAATTGAAAATTAACCAAGATGACTTACCTATGATCCTACGTTTTGCTTCAACCAGATTCAGGCAAGTTTAGCTCCTGCGTCTGCTGATCCTCACGGAAACTGGTATGGATGCAAGTTGAATAATGCACACTGTAGTGCTCCACAAATCCGATTTCTCCAAGGTTCATTATAGCCATCTTATTTTCACTTCCTGTCTTTTCATATCCGTTATGTTATGGTTTCTTACTTTATTGATAGGCTTGCATTGAAACAAATTACTGAAACTGAACCATTTTGAAACAGGTTTTAGAGGACAGATGCTTGGTGCAATTAGGCGCTTTGGTAAGTTCAGAAAGAACGGGTATTTCATCAACTCATGCTTTTCTCATGGCCAGACTGAGAGACAGGATACGTGGTTTGCCGCTGGCTCACCTCACATTGGAAATAAAGTATGTTCTTATTGTTTTATAGTCCTCCAAAAAGCATAGCTTTGCCTATCAATGGCCATTTTAGTTTCTCAAGTTGTAGTTTAGAAAATTGAATTAGATTGTGGGTATATGAGGCCTATGTGGGCTTTGTCCCACGTTAATAGTGCATGTTTCCATTAAAAGCTATAGTAAAAATATTCAAAAGTTAGGGTAACTAAAACTTCCAGGAACAAAAATTTCCAGCTCATATAATCGCTATCACAATACTAACTAAAGATTGGATGCCATTTCACAACAAAAGCTTCAATCAGAGCAACGATATACCAATAACCTTGGTCAATTGGGAAATAGAGGAGTTTTGCTCATTTTCAAGTAATGCTAGTCTAGACTCTAGTGGATTCTATTGGTACTAAATCGTGTTTACCAATTTCAGTACCAAAATATTTCCATCAATATGAATTTAGGCTTTGTAAAATAGACTTCTTTTTCAGAACTCAATTGACGCTAACAATGCACAAATTAGTACCAATAGGATCTCACTAGAGTCGTCAAGGACCTTTGTGACTAGAGGTAGAGACTTTCTCGTCATTGAATTATCAGCCGTTTTTATTTCCCACCCAGATTTTTTTTATAGTTATGACCTTTAATGTCTTGATTATTTAGCTAAGCCAATCAAACTCTGTATGTTTTTTTTAGGAAAGTCAATCCAACTCTTGTACCCTCGTTTTTTGCATCTTATTGTCAATAAAAGACCAACCTATGTAAATTTGTACGAAAATTTGTTCATTTAATATTCTAGTTGATGCATTTGTTCTATAAATATTGCACCTTCGTGTTTTTGTTTCTCGTTTTGATATAAAACATAGCATTTTACCATTTTTACACAACCACAAATTACTGTTGTCGACCCAACACTGCCCTTATTTCTTGCCACATTTATTGCATGGGTTGATTAACGATGTTGTCATCCAATATATACTCCAGTCAATCCCATTTGCCCCCCACCGGCCACCACCTAGGGAGAAAAATTGAGCAAAAAGAAAAAGAAATGGTTGCTAGGGGCAAAAGGGATGTCTTTTCCCTTTACTTTTCAAAATCATCTTGTTAACAGAAGTTATTTATAATATGCAGGGGATCGCACAGTCGGTTGGCAACTGGTATTTTGATCGAGCAGAGACAAAAATCATTGATTGTCCCTACCCTTGTGACAAAACTTGTCACAATTTGGTTTTTGCACATCTTTAAAAGCTTATTTAATTTTATTATTCACACACCCACCACGCCCAACCCCAACACCACCCAAACAAAAAAAGTATACAATACGGTTGCACATCATCTCATAGTTTTTATAGAGAGCATAGATAGAATATACTTCATAGTATCTATCAATAAAGTCTTTCTTTGGCTATCAAAAATCACTATTGATTTGCTCGAGATGTAATCGAAGAATTTATAGCTGAGATTGAAGCTTATAACATTTGTGCTTGAGTTAAGCCCAAGTTTTGTGTGGGAAGTTTCAGTGTTAACCATGGCTCATGAATCACACTGTTGCGTACTTATACAAACATAGGCTTGGAGCTCAGAGGTGTAAAGGTGGAGGCTAAGCGTTAGTCCTCGGAGAAAGACGAAAAGCAGTGAAATAGTATATTGGAATAGAGTATAATGTTGTATACTTGTATGCACGGCTGTGCAAGGATTAAGAATAGCAGCTGAGTTTCCAGAGCGATGCATAGGCGGCTTTTATCATGATATATGTTGTTTCCGTTCATTTAAATGTCTGTCTAAGTACAATTTAAGACAATAATACTTAATATAAATTTAAGTGTAATACATTATCATTTTTGGTTATTTCTCTCTTTACCTTTTCTCCCACGATCGATCCACACTCATTTTCTTTCGCCCAAATTGAAAGATACATTGTACTCCATATCTGAGTTTGCCCAGGTTTTATCTTCTTAATAGTTTAATAACTAACATTTGTTTTTCAAGTGGCAACGTTATACTTTTGCTGTTTTATTTTAGGATTTTTAGCTGACACGTTTTGACTCGTCATTATTCACATAAGTTACTTTGACTCTAAATTGTGACCCATAAGGGAAAAAAAATATATAATCGAGTAGCGTCTTGTTTGATTTGTTTCAACGTCTATTTTCTAAATATTAAATTTTTATAATTTTTGGTTGTACAAAATTGAAGATATTATTATTATTAATGCATTAGCAAACACGTCTAAATAAAATGTATCAACAAAGGAAATACTCCATAATACTTTTGGGTAAATTTAGATAAAGCTGCTAACACCATAAATAGCCATGAATAGGGTAAAATTACGCAATTTTATTACATTACGAATTTGCCACTTATAAACAAACAATGTGGTAAACTTGTATTTTCTCCGCCAATTTCACTAAGGGGTCGTTTGGTTCGCAAGGGGTAATCGAAATGGATTGAACAAAGGGAAAAGAAAAGAATGGAATGAAAATACCATATATTTGCTATGTTGTTTGTTTTAAAAACAAAGGGAAACAAATCCCACTAGTCCCACCACCACCACACATCCACCTAATTCATTAACTTTCCACCTTTTCCAGCCACCATCTATCCACCAAACCACTCACCGCACCTCCCCCACCATTCGCCGCCCTACGCCAACCCTCCCCCACCCCTGCCGACCCAGCGCAGCTGATCCCTCCCCCGAGAAACCTCCCTTAGCCCAGAAAACCCTAGAATCTAGTCTCACTCCCCGTAAAACCCATCGGTCAGCCCTCCCCCACCCATCGAAACCCTACCGCCTAGGGTTTCGATGGTGGGGGAGGGTCGGTCGTCCGTTTTACAGTGAGGGAGATGGGTTTTTTTTAGGTTTTTTAGGTTTTTCGATGGTGGGTTTTTGAGAGTGAGGATGGTCGACGAAGGGAGGGGAGGTGCGACGAGGGGTGGGAGAGAGGCGGCGAGTGGTGATGTGGCTGGCCGTGGTGTGGTGGTGCGACTTTTCGGTGATTTGGGTAGGTAAGAGGGTGGTGGTATGGTGGTCTAGTAGTGGCTAAGGAATGAGAATGGAAATACCTATTGGGGTGGGGAATCAACTTAGAAGAATTTAGGGGAATGAAAAGGTAAAATGGAATGGGGAAAAAGGCGTAACAAATAACAACAAAGAGAATCAAGACAATTGATTCCCATTTACTTTAATGAACACCGCCAACCAAACGGCCCTAATTATTATACCAGTTTAATAACCATGTTATCACATTCACTCCTAACGAAAAGGCGGGACAAGAGTCACAAACTCCCAGTACAGAGCCAACAGAGGCACACAACAATTCATCTTCTTCACGGATTTCAACAGTAGCAGAGGAGAGAGAATTTCACAGCCAAACAAGCTCAGAAGTTCAGCAATGGCGGTTTCTTCATCATCCTTTAACACCGCCTTTGCTCAACCCAAATTCATGTCTCTACTCTCACAGCGCTTCCGTTCATTCCATCCATGGCGTCCTCACCTCGCAGCTAACCCCAAACTTCCCGCCATTTTTACGCCTAAATCAAGGTATGAACTTCAATTACTTCCTTAACTCAATTCATTCTTAATCATATTGTTGATTATCATACTCAATTTCATCCATTATTTGTAATTATGAATTTTCAATTGAATTTGAATTTCTGATAATAACTGTGAATTCAACTGTATGCTTTTTTTTTTTTTTCTTCTAAAGTGAATATTATCGAAATTTGTAATATGAAGTTGAAACGCAATTATGTAATTTCGATTATATACAGTATTTGTGTGTGTTTAGTAAAGAGATAAACCTGGAATTTCCTGCTAAGGAATTGTTGGATTTTGTAGAAGTATGACGGTTAGGGTTAATGCTTGTTACAAGAAGAGGCCGATGGATACACCGGGGGCGTACGAGTTGATTGATGAGGAGAGTGGTGAGAAAGTGATTCTTTGGGGTGGAGTTGATGATGTTGAACCTTCAATTCCTAGTAAGAAAGTACTTTCCTGGACTCCAAGTAAGGATCAGAAGAAATCTTCGAATGCTCGGGAAAATATTGAAGGTACATCTTTTTTAGCTTATAGATTCTGTGTAATGGACTTGTGTAGTTGTGTTAACATAACTTGATAACCTCTTTGATTATGATTTATGAAACTTACTTATGTTGCCAGCCTGCCAATTCTCGGTTTAATGCATTTTATGTGCAATGTTTCTGAAGTTAATGCTTGTTATTATGCTTTCACCTTTCGTCGCTGCCTTCTTGGTATTAATAGAAGAAAACAATCTTCTTGGTTTAACAAATGAACTTAGGATAAAAGGAAAGGGGTGGTGGAGTTGTGACTTGTATGGTTATTGTTAACGGATGAACTTAGAGGAAAAGGAAAGAGGTGGTGGAGGTGTGATTTGTATGGTTGTTGTTAACGAATGAACTAAAGTATTTATCTTCTTGGTTGGAAGGAGTTAGGAAGGATATGAAGTATATGGATTTGTACGAGAATGAGGCATTTGATTGTAAGGGATAGAGGAGGAAGATTTTTGTGGATAACTATATGGAATAATCACTGTTGGTTCATGTAGCCGACCCCACTTATGGGATAAAGGCTTTGATTGGTTGATTGATTGATTTGGAACAAAAAAGAAAAACAATGAACAACTAACTTTAGAGTTCCTTCTTTTCTTTTATGTTCTACTCGCTTTTTAAGAAGCCATTCACTTCCATATGTTATGCTGGGTTATGCAAAGATCTTCCTATTTATCCATTAATTTGATCATTAAAAAAGGGTTTGATATGAGTTCTAATAAATGAAAGTTTTTTTTTTTTTTTTTTATTTTGTAAAGAAAATTCTGTATCCTTGATTTTATATTTTTTATTTTAACAAATTTATTTTTCTTTTTTACTTTTCGATGTATCCTTCATAGGCAGTGAACCTTCGTCCGCTCACAAAAATGTTCGTTCGTCTCCAACTACTCTAAGATTGTCCAAGGGTGTTGGAAGGTTGAAAGCTGTCAAAATCAAAAGCATTGTAAGAAAGACTTCAAGGGAAAAGGAGAAAATTAACGAGCATAGATATGAAGAACCAGATATGGATGAACTAGATGATGATGACGATGATGATCCAATTGTATCGTCGGATCCTCAAGGTGTCTGGATCAGAAAGAAAAATATTTCTGCTAAGAGTGGCATTGAGCAGCTCATGGAAAATAAATTGTCAAGGAAACCTTTTGAGCCAAAGGATAACTTGACTGATGCTGGCTCATATGTTTCTGCTACTCATTCAAGAGGATGGAATGATAGAGAACCAAGACGTGGTTATAGGGGTGAATCAAGAGACTTGAAACCTACACGTAAATATAATGCTGGGAGTGACTTTTTCAGTCGAAAATCATTTAGAGAATCGGGTTGTGGTGATGAAATGATTGAGGCTCTGAGGGTACAGGATTTTGTTCGCCCTTCAAACATTCAGGTACATCAATTTATTGCTTGTAAAAGTTCATTTGGAGTTTTCAAGCTACTCTCTTGTCCAATTTACTGCATTCATGAACCTATTGTGTATCATCTAGTCTTGTGTTTGTCTTTTCTCGCTCTTGCAAACAGTAGAATCTGGTCAGTTGTGTCATTTAATTTATTGGTTCAAAGTGATTCCTTTTCTTGTTTGTTAAAGTTTGAACTTGAATTACATGTGACTGCTACAATCTGTTATATTGCCTGTCTACTAGATGATTTCTGCATATGATATGTATGTCAGTTCTTGTGTGCAAAGGTCTTATAGGTGCAGCGGTTTGACAGCTCCCTGTTGGACCCACAATCTCGTTTCACACCCACTTTTCCATTAGAATAACCATACAAATACCTCACTGACTCCCTTCACATCCCCTTTTCTATTAAAATTTTGTACTGTTATAAATGTTTGAACTAATGTGGGTTGGAGGAATCAAATGCATATTTATCTTATTGATATTTCTGTTCTCACTACACTTACATGCTATTGGTTAATACCTACTCATTTATTTACTCCTCAATACTTGTGGATATTTAGCATGGATATTATTACTTAGATATATGGAGTATTTGCTTATGATGTGTAAACACTATTTACATTCGTCTCAACTGATTTTCTATTAGAAAATCTTTTTAGATGCTTAAAGCATAGTTACTGATCAATAAGAATTGGTCATAATTAGCTATATTTGACAACAAAAGTGAAATATTGCCAATTTTAAACTGCATAATGTGGTAAAGTATCATGCTACTTAAAATATCATGTTTTATAAACTACATAACTTATTATTCCATACTATATATTTTTGGCCAATTTAAATAAAAGACAGGATGTAACAGGTAAAAAAATTGTTCTAACGTGGTGAGTCACTGTTACATAATGGAATACGTGGTGAAAAGGACGTGATTTTTGTCGTGGATTCTGCAGAATGGAAAATCCCAAAATATATTACTGAACAACCGTTCTGTAACGGAATAGCTGACTTTTAATTCCATCCAAAATCTGACATCCATTTTGCACCATACTGTCATGGTATTCCTACCAAACCCCCTATTTGCCCAATTAACTGCATCATATTGTGCAGACTGCGGAGTAATTCAGAAGCTATTTTTCTCCGAGGCTAAAAGCTTCTTATTATTTTTCTGAAAGTTAATGCCAATATTAAACATAAAGGAAAAATTACAGTACTTCTGATTGGTTTCCATTATGTTTTGTATACTATATGAGTGCTATATACACTTCATGAGACTTACTATCACTTGAGATTGTTGAATGCAGGCAATGGCATATTCTCCTGTTGTAGAAGGGAAGAGCTGCATTATAGCTGATCAAAGTGGATCAGGGAAAACGTTGGCATACCTGGCTCCAGTTATTCAGCGTCTTAGACAAGAAGAGATTGAAGGAATTAGTAAATCGGCATCAAAAAGTCCTCGAGCTGTAATATTAGTCCCAACTGCCGAGCTAGCTTCCCAGGTGAGCTGATACTGTGCCATGATTGCCATCTTCTTGCTTTTGCATCATCTAGTGCTTAATATGCTTCTATTTTTAATATTATACCTGTTTTGTTATTGCTCAATATGCTCATTTATGACATAAATTTTCTTTGAAGGCATTTCTTATGTTTCTTCTTAAGCTTCACATATTGACAGGCCCTTTTCTTTTGAATATACTTGTTTTACCCGGGATATACTTGAGAAACACATCATTTTCTTTGTTAATGGTTTTCCTTAATTGATTGATATGTTACAAATACATGATATGCAAGTTAAAACTAAAGATTTGAACATTATTGTCAATTGTGAATTTTAATATATGCGAGGAGCATGGAGCATATGTGCCTGAAATTAGAATAACTAGTCAGAAGTGTTCTGAAATCCTGTTCTTAATGGGGTCCATCCTGTGACAGTGGCTCTAGACTGTCTTGTTTTTAAAATTTTGTTACACTGAATCTGCATTCTGTTTCGCTCATGTTTAAATGCAGGTTCTGCTGAATTGTCGATCCATCTCAAAACATGGTGTTCCTTTCCGCTCTATGGTTGCAACAGGAGGCTTTCGACAGCGAACTCAGTTGCAGACTCTTGAACAGGATTTGGACGTGCTTATTGCCACACCGGGACGTTTCATGTACTTAATCAAAGAAGGGTTTTTACATTTAACAAACCTTAGATGGTATCTCTCTCTCTCTCTCTCTCTCAGATTGGACATAACCTTATTACTGAATAGACAAAAACTCTTAGCAGTTTCTTCCACAGTAGTAATTATGCTCCCTTATTTATATTACTTATTAATTACTCCGTTATATATTTATTTATGTGATGATAAAAGAAGCATTATTTTTAATATCTTTTCTGCCTTATGATTATACCTGCTTACATGTGAGAGAATCTGTTACCTTGTTTACCATGTTGTCAATAAGGAAACACTTTTGATTCTAGTGAAGAAATTAGTTGTAGTTGCATAAGTAGAAAATCAGTTTGAAACATTGAAGGTTTTCTCTTTCTTCTTTTCTAGTTTGTTGTCAACTGTGAGGTCATCTCAACTTGTGGATAGAATATACATTTTAGATACTGAATTTCCTAGTCTGGAATTAGGCGGTTGTGCTGTAGATTATAGATATGATTATACCTGGGAAATTCAAGTCACCCAAAACTAAATACTATGATTTTTGACTCAAACCAAAATTATCTGGACCCCGTTGGAGCTTGAGCCAACTCAAAGATACTATGACTAATATGATTGATTTTTCATAACAGTTAAATTTCAATAGATCCAATGTGATCCTGACTGAATTGATCTGAACTGAATCAAATGACTCATCAGCCTAATACTACCCAAACTGAAATAACTTAAATCAAACCCAATGAGAATGATCATTTTCCACCCCTAGACATAAATATACATGATTGAGCTAGATACTAAGCACATTCTCTCACAAGATTAACAGGATATAACTCCCTCCATCCCACTAACATTGCCTCTTATACCCTTTAATTTACCTTTTAAAGAGTTCATTTGAAAGGATGTAGTGTTCTTTTTTGTCTTTTGTGGTTGCACATGGATTGTTAAGGGAGGAACATATACTAGTAAGGGAATGGGCAAACACAATGGGACATCCAATTTAGGATAACTTCGTGGGATGAAAGAGTAAGTGATAAGAGCAAATGATAGGTCCCAATTAGACGGTCATAAAATTTGATCTCTTGTCAGTAGTACCAGGATAAAGCATCTTACTTAATCTGTTCTGAACTTCTGATGATGATGCACTGTGTTTGAAAATTTTAAGGACAATTTTTATAAATATTGTCTTCCAATGCAACTGTGTAAGCTGGTTTAACCTGTATGATTGAGTGACAAACTCTCATTACTACATATATACATCCTTGAGAGCTGAGAAAAGTCTTTGGCAAAATGAATACAAGTAGATGAATTCATTGCAAGAATCAACAAAAGATGGTAGTGTAACCTGTCAATTGACAAAAAGCTAGTCCTTCAACAATGGTGTCCATAATTCCTTGTTGCAGATGGGACGTTGAGGTTTGAAGATTTCATAGAGATTATGAGAATAGTACCATCATAAGGTGACTATTAATTGGGATTACTGGATTATGAATCACTTACATATCAATTGTTTTTACTGTCAAGGCCTTAAGATTATGGTCAGTCAGTTTTTTTAAGCAGATATTTGCATATTTCAGAAATATCAGATCAATAGATCATACCAGACCAGATCATATCTTTTTATTTGAGTTTATTTATCGCAAAATTTCTTTTATTCCATAATAATAATAAATTACAAAAATTTCATATTTGGATAGTACACATTAATACGAATCCAATGAGTTATCTTAAGGATTAGTGTACAAATAAGGTCCAAATTTAGTCAAATCTGGAAGTCAAACTAGGTCATGTTATAAGTATTGAGACCATGGTCTTGTAAAAGGAAATTCATAGTCAAGGCCTTCCATCCTACCAGTATTGCTCTACAATAAATGTCTTTGTGTAATGAGATGTTTGCTTGTTTCATATTGGGTGACATTGCAAGTTGATTGTACGATGCTTGATATGACCTTGGTTAAGGGCTTGCCTTTTTTTTTCTTTAATATACCTTCAGATCTTGTAGGCCTACTCTAATGACAGCTGAGTAGTTTCACTGTTATCTTACTGTTAAATTTATGTCACAGTGCTGTGTTGGATGAAGTGGATATACTCTATAGTGATGAAGATTTTGAACAAGCTTTGCATAGTCTAATTAACACGGCACCGGTTACTACGCAGTACCTCTTCGTGACCGCCACATTACCTGTGGAAATTTACAACAAACTAGTTGAGACCTTCCCAGATAGTGAGGTGATCATGGGTCCTGGAATGCACCGGACGAGCTCCGGTCTTGAAGAGGTGCATATCATACTACATTCATTTTGAAACAACCTCTTTGAATCTGTTATCTGACATTACTTAAATTGTGCGCAAAAATTCTTTCTGTATGCTATGCCAGTCTAGTTTTGTAGAATCTCAATAAGTTTCCAAATCTGCTATATGGAAGCTTAAATATTCAAAACATAAAGCGGAGATTTTTGGTTTTTATTTATGCTTTAAGAGTGGCACAAAGGCTTAATTAAAACCATTGGATCATCTTTTGGTTTTTCAAAGCAGAGATATTAGCTTTACCTTTACTGTGAAGTGAATTCTGTAGGCTGTAACTGTAGTGACATGTTGAAGCCCGTGGCTCATACTATAGATTTGACATGTAGGAACTGAAAAAATCTAAAACAAATGACAATGTGGTAGACTCAACCAATTACTGTTGCTGGGCAGGTTCTTGTAGATTGTAGTGGGAATGAAGGGTCAGAAAAGACCCCAGAAACAGCATTTTCCAATAAGAAGTCTGCCCTTTTGAGGCTTGCAGAGGAGATTCGAGTTTCTAGGACTATTATATTCTGTAATAAGGTAATTTGGACTACTTTCCATTCTGTGCGCACTTGTGAATGATTTGATTGTTCTTACTTTCAGTCTTTGATATATGTAGATTGAGACATGTCGAAAGGTTGAGAATGCCCTGAGACGTCTTGATAGAAAGGAAAATCAGATACGAGTTTTACCATTTCATGCTGCTTTGGAACAAGAAACAAGGATCACAAATATGAAGGAGTTCCTTAATTCAAAAACAGAAAATCGTTCTCTGTTTCTAATTTGCACCGACAGGTTTGTCACTGATGCTTTTTAGTAATAACCAAAAATAAGCTTGGCTCTTCTCTATTTATGTTTTAGTTATGTTGATCAAACTTGTCTACAGCTAAAGAGTATTGGCAATTTTGATCATTTATATATATAGGATTTTGGACTTGACCGATTCAGAATATTTTGTCCATCTGTGAAGATTTCAGTCCCTTTGTCACTGACATCGCTACTTAGGGATGAAATGAAAATTGCATTTTACAAAATCAATTGTTAGATTTGTTTTAATTTGGCCATCTTGCTTTGTTTAAAGTAGTATAATACTCAGCTACTCACATCCTGTGTTAGGAGTTCCTAATTTTGAGTGCTAAAACATTGTTATAGGGCTTCACGGGGAATTGACTTTCCCAGCGTGGATCACGTTGTACTGTTTGATTTCCCTCGCGATCCCAGTGAATATGTACGTCGTGTTGGCAGAACAGCAAGAGGTGCAGGAGGTATAGGCAAGGCTTTTGTGTTTGTCGTTGGTAAGCAAGTTTCTCTGGCAAGGAGGATCATTGAAAGAAATGAAAAGGGTCATCCTTTACATGAAGTGCCTTCTGCTTATGAATTAGTACGGTGATAAGTCTCAGACAGACCTGCACTTGTGAATGTTGAAATTAGTAATGCAAGGGGTCAGGTTACTTGTGTAATTTTTAACCTTTGACTCCTACATTTTTGAGTTGTAAAATAAATCATAGCTAATCATTTTAACAAGTTATAGTTGCGAGAAGTAGGAGTCATTATAGTATGATCTGGTAAAATGTATGAATTTTTTTGATTCGTGCATGTTGATAAAAGTAAGATATGCTAAAATATACAGTATGTCAGTATGATGTTTTATTGATCCATGGAGAGGCTAGGAGTTATATTTGTCTAAAAACACAAGGTGCCAAATGCCGATGTGCTAATGTAAAATGAGTTGGGTCACCACTGAAGGTGCTAATGCTTGCCTAAGTTACTTGTAAAAGGGGCTGGGTAAGTTGATAACGGTGGTGCACGGCAGTGATTTAGGAGATATGAAACAGAGGGAAATAAGAGGTAAAAGAACTCGATTCATTTAGCTAACCGCGTTGATCAAGGTATGATTTGATTCAACTAGGGTTTATTGCCCCCTAATTAAGAAATTTTGACAGAGTTATTTCTTTCATTTTAGTGGTTGATTTGTGCTTTATGCATTTCAAGACTAAGAAAAGAGAACCAAAATTTTGATACCATGTTGAGAATAGAATAGTTGGGAAGCTCAAGTATATTGCAATGATCAGTTATATAAACAAACTACAATGGTAACAACTAACCTAAGCTTAATCCTAGAAATTAGGTATATATATGGACTAACTATAATAACAAACTAAGAATGTATCCAGTAATTACAAAATATATAGACAGAAACATTTTAGATTAATGATCCCCTGTATCAACGGATGCGACTCACATGAGCAAATGGCTCATGAGTCACTTCTTTCTTAGGCGTCGCTTGGTCTGGATTGCCAAATACATTCCAGATGCGCAAGGTCTCGTCCCCTGCAGAAGCTACTGCCAAGCCATCAGGACTCTGTAACATAAATTCCAAAAAATCAGTAAAATACAAATAATGAGGTAACTTGAGAAATAGAAGCTGCAGTTCTCAATAAACCAAGAAAAATTACCTGAGACATGAAAAGTACTCTGGACGTATGCCCAGTAAGCTCTGCCATCTGCACCATTGATGGATATTTCCACAAAATTAAATTGTTATCAGGAAGCCCATGTGAGCTCAGCAGCTCGCGTTCATTATTGCTCCATATCAAAGCCGAAACCTGGGATCCAGTGTTTACCGAGTTCAAGCATGCACCAGTATTAATGTTCCAGAATTTTATGCATTGATCGTTCATGCCTCCTCCAGAAGCCAGCATGTTACTCTGAAAGGGACACCAAGCAAGGGCTTTAACTGCAGCAGTGTGGTCTTGAATCCTGTGCAGCCACTGAGTGGCAGAATTGAAACTGGCCATTGATCGATCCCAGATGTGCACAAGGTTGTCGTTGCCTCCACTGGCTAGATATCGACCTGAAGGTGACCATTTCAACCCACAAACTTCATGCCGATGTCCTCTGTAAGTTTCAACTATATGACTCCTAACTCTCAAGTCATTGTTTATGATTCTGCTGTCTGCTGATCCAGTGGTGAGGATGTTTCTGTTCCAAGCCAGTGAACCAATACGAGCTTGGTGACCTTCCCTTAATGTTCTCACCTGCAAGAACAAAACAATAACAGTAAGAAATCAAGCGAAACATAAAACTCAAGCAGATGAGAAACCAGGACTACTAACAAAAACAAGAAATAAAGTATGCAAGTTAGATTTATTCACCTTTCTACTGGCAGTAGAATCCCAGACCTGAATTTTAGAATTGTCCAAGCCAATGGCAATATGACGACAATCAGGCGCCCAACTCACACTAGTTACTGGGCCTTCATCATCAGAAACAGTCACAAGCTCCAATGTAGTATGTGTGGATGCATCCCACAGGTATACAGTGTTTTCAAGAGCAATAGCAAGAACATTGCCCTTACCCCAATCGAGTAAGTTCAAGTAATAGTCATTTATCAGGCCAGGGCAATCCAGTATGCGCTCTGCAGTCTGCAACACAATCACAGTGTAAATTTTAAGAATTGAACACCAAGAAAAGATCAAAAAAGAGCAGAACACAGTAAGAATATGATCTTGGAGTCTAGGCACTAAGCAATAGGCAAGTTCACATGTGTAGGCTAAGCAAGACTAGGCACTTCAGTTAAAGATGATTGGTAACTCATACCTAACATCTATACATACAATGATACAAACACATTCAGAAACTCTGAAAATAAGATATAGTATTCATTGAAATTTTCAAAATTATGCCTCATAAGTCCATAAATAAAAAGCATACTCAATAGATATTAAATCATACTTCGTACTATGTAACATTTTTCCTCTTTTGCTTAAGAACATTGGAAAATTGTTGCCAATACGTGCACATTTATCATACACTAAGCCCTAAACAGATAATTTGACAGTAGAAATAAGACAATCATACATATAAATTTTATCAAACACCATCATAATATCAAACTTCAAGTAATAAATAAATAAGTAAATAACACAAGGGTTCATGATAAATTTTCTTCTTTAAAACAATAGAAATAAGTACCAATTTCAACCATTTGAAACAAATTGATGATCAAGGTCTTAACTCTTAATAATCAACATTACTAAATTTTTAAGACATACTCGTCTAACTCTTACATATTCAGACACATTTCCACAACACCAAATTATAACACATAACCGAAAACATAATCAGAGAAAAGTCTATATACCTGAGGAACACGACGTATTCGCTTTGGAAGAGACACAGCCTCCAAGTTGGGGGTGGCAAGGGGAAGTGGGGCGGGTGGCTTGTTACTGAAAGCAAGAATTCTAGACCTATTCATCCCAAACACCTCCTTCAAACGCTGCCGGTACGCTTCCTTTGACGGCGAAAAGGGAGATTGATCCTCCTCCTTCTTCTTCTCCTTCCACCCTTCTGTCAGCATGTAGTGCGCATAATGGAAATCCATAGCCGACCTACTTGGAATAAATCTATCCAACTCCAACTGATTTTTTCAAATCATTCCCAAAAAATACAAATTATCAGTAGCCGTTAACCTAATAATCCGACAATTATTCAGATAAAAATAGAATTAGAGGTCTTACATTTTCTTTAATTCGATTATGGGTCAAATTGTAGCGAATGTGAATTGACATGGTGTAAAATAGATTGGATCGCAAGAATTACCAAGTTCCGACGAATTCCGAAAAAACCCTAAAATTCAAAACAAAACAACAACAACAACAACAACAATAACAATAACAAAAATAATACAGAAAGAAGAAAAATACAGAGCAAAACAAAACAGAGTTAGTATTAAAGAAGATGAGAAATTGGAAGAAATAAAAAGAAGTTACGAAATGACGACAACGAAAGGTTGGCGCTTGCAGAGGAGAGAGAGAAATTGAGAGCGATTTCACCAAATTCAAGCGTCGATCAATTGACGGAGATGATGAATGAAAATGAGGAAAATACTTTGGAAAACAGGTTGAATGTTTTTATAATGGTAAAATAATGTTTAAGGGCGCGCTTCTGTTTACTTAACTCGTACAATCAAGTCATTTTGTGGGTAAGTAGATTGCTAGACCGTAATTATGAGTTGTTATTTGGCTAGCACCACATTAATCACGTTGTCCCTATTTTTATTTTATTTTTCCTTTTTGACCATTTATGATTTTTAAGACCCGTGTTAAAATGTACAGTACTTAGTACGGTTTTATGTTGGTGAATTTTGTTAGGAAGGGGTTTTGTTCAATGACTTCAATTTTTTTTTTTTTTTTTTATGTGTTTTACCAATTATTGTTACAGTAAATATAGTCATTTATAAGGTAAAAAGTATATATTTTACAGGTTTTATTCATAATTTTAAACAAAAAAAAAAAAAAGACGATATGATCTAAGATCGATTTTTAAAGGGTTTTGAACTAAACCAAACTGAACACCGATTTTTTTAATTTCTCGACCCAGAGATTTTACTTAATTCTTCGGTCCAATTAAAAAAAACATATATATACCCTTTTCTCTCCATAACTAAAATATTTAACATTCTCCATTAAACTTATTCTACCGTTACCACATGTAGATTGGATGCAGTCAAATTAACTAGCTTAGAAGAATCCGAAATAGCTTAGGCAAATTGAAGTTTTGAATTGGATACATGACACTTCATTCAACTGTCGTGTCCGTGTCGGACACTGTGACAGACACCGACACTCATTGAGCACACGACGATACGTCTCACACCGTATCCTACTATATGATATGGTTTGTTGTGCTTCGTGACACGCCACCTAATCTTTTTCATCAATTTTTTTAATAAGAAAGTTTATGTAAAGTTAGATAAAATAAGGTAATAGTTAAATAATATGGGTGCCTTTATATATAGTTCATTGTTCATATGACATAGTATTATCTAATGAGAGAATGGAATGACAAATATATTACACTATATGAATTATAACATCACGTACCCGTGTCCCTTATTTTTTATATAAACGTTTTTCCATATCCGTTTCGTACCAATATCCGTGTCAATACCCGTTCTTGTGCAACCTAATTGCATGATACAAAGTTACTACTCCCTCCGTTTTTTTTTATAAGCCAGAATTACTATTTTTGTCCTTTTTTTTTATAAGCTAGAGTTTCATTTTTGGAAATCTCTTACAATCTATAACTAATACTAAATTAGCAACCGCTGACGTCATCTTTTTTCAAAGCTGTACACGTGGCACTATCTCATGAAAAGATTTCCCGCTCAAATGCTAAGCCCATTCAACATTTTTCAATTCAAATCTATCTATCTATAACTAATACTAAAGTAACAACTGCTGACATCATCCTTTCCCATAAGTGTACACATGTCGAGTTGTGGCAGAAAATTTTCCCGCCTAAACTATATGGGATGTCAACAATTTTTTTATTTTTTTTTGGTCAGCTACTTCACTGATACTCCAATTTTCCAAAAAAAAATATGCATGTGTAATTTTCATTTTTTATCTTTATAATTTGAAAATTTATATCAATTAATGAAACAAACTTAGTCCAATAATTTCACAATTGTGACGATATAACAAATTACTTCCTTTGTCCCATAATGCTTGACACAGTTACCATTTTTGTCCGTCTCAAAATACTTGACACTTTACTAAATATGGAATGTGACCACTAATAAAAAAATATTTTCCTATACTCTCTTTGGGACCACAAACACCAAAATCCAATTAAATCCTACATTTTTTCTCTCCTCACTACCCCCACCTCTCTCACTTTTTGTTTTCTTACAATATAAAAATAAAAAAGAGAATCATTTATATAATAAACAAATGTTTTAAATGGACCTACTTGTAATTTTCTTAAACTACGTGTCCACCCCAACGTCCCAAGTATTATGGGACGGAGAGAGTATTTGACGATTTGTCAAATCGTGCATCGCACGAAACTAATTTAGTAACTAATACTAAAATAGCAACCGCTGACATCTTCTTTTTCCTCAAATTGTACATGTGTCAGCTTTTCCTTTAATTTTTTCTTACCTAAACTTTTATTTTTCCTCTTCCATTTTTTTTTTGGAAAAACTAAATATTGACTGTAAAGTAACTTTACACAGTATATTATCTTAAGTTATATATAGCTAATCTTATGGAAAACAAATATTAATCCTATATATATATGTGATTACTCCGTCTAATTACAAAGTCCACTACATAAATTTTATTTTGTTTGTATTATTTTAATTTTTTGTAGTTTGATTTATGTTAATACAAAAATTTTAAATGTTTTGAGTGATATTATGACTTGAAATATACACAATTATAAATTCTTTTTATTATATCTGTGCATCGTACGGGAGCTACTCTAGTTTAATAATATATCTTTACCCACTAATATCCCCACTCTTTTTTACTTTATCACTTCTCACTCTTCCAATTGTCCCACTCCCTCTCACACCATTTTATTTTTCAATAAAATAATAACTTTATCCACCCCACTAACATCTTATTTTATCAAACCACTTAAAACTCCACGCAATCTCATCTCTAGCCTATCAAAAAATCAGAGGGAGTATTTACCAATACGTTAATCTACCTCTTAAATCAATTCTATAAACCATTTATACTCTCGGTTGCATAAAATAATTAGCGTCGCCAACCTACTAAAACCGTAAAACCCGAAAAAGAAAAAAAAAGGAAAAAAAAAAAGGATAAGGTGCTCAACGATAAAAAGGCGGGGGAACGGCAATGAAGAAGATAAACAAGAGTGAGAAAAAAGAAGCTCACAAAATATTCAGGCATGGCTGCCTCTGCCTCAGCATCACTCTCATTCTTCAATACCACTTTAGCTTCATCTTCTTCTTCACAACAACTCTTTCAGCCGCCTAACTTCGTCAATTTCCGCCCACAAACTCTCCCAATCATTCAAGCTAAGGCTCACACTCGCCGCGAAGACCGCACTGCCCGCCATGTTCGTATTAGGAAGAAGGTATTATTGATTTTACCTCTTTTCTTTTGTTGAAATTGAAGCAGTTTTTTGGTTTCTGGGTTTGTTTGTTTTCTGGGGTTTGACCATTTTGCTTTAATTTTTGTTGGGTATTTTGTTATTTTAAGAATTGTTTTGTTTTGAATTGTAATTTTGGAGGATATAGTTTTGTGTGTGGTGGACATTGGTTGGGAAATTGAAGTAAATTGTGAAAATTATTGTGTTGGATGTTGAATTTTAGGGTCCTGGTAATTTGATTAAATCCCATGAATTGGTATCCAAAATAGGTGAATTGGTAGTGTGTTGATAAATGTAGCTAGTGAATTGCGTTACCATACCCGTTCTCGTGCCACGAATCAGGTGTCTACATTTTTAGGAAGAATGTGGGAAATGTATGATTGATGTATGGTTAGATTTATTTAGAGAATGAAGCAAAATGTGATAATCAATTGGAAGTTAAATTTAGTGAATTTAGAGTCGTGATAAGTATGACCCTAAATTTAGTTGTTCTTGATCTTTGGAGTGTAAAAAGAATGTGGGACTTACAAAAGATTATGTAAGGGAGAGTTTGTTTGGATACATGTTGTGAATTGTGAGCTTGGTTGCTTATTATGCAATCTAAGAGCTATGGTGTTTTTGGTGTGAAATTTTTTTAGTTGGAATATGGTTTGAAGTCCATTCAACTGTGTTGCTGTGTCATTTTGCCGAGAATTTAAACGAATAACTAGTATGGACAAAAAAAATTGGTTCATCTTGTGATTCTAGAGTTCTATCTGCATCGTGTATTCCTCATTGTCGGTAATTTCAGAGGCCTAGGTTTTGGTGTATATGGACTGTTTATTTGGTGCAAGATTAGCTCTGCTTAACTGAAGGGTTCGTAAAACAGGCTGTATGCAAGAGAATCTATTTCTATGGTCACTAAAAGTACTTCATAAGAGCAATGTTGATGCACTTGATGAACTATTTACAACTCTATTTGGTTAGACTCGTATTCTCATGTGGGGACAGTCGGACACTTGATGCATCAGTCAAGATTCTCTGCCTCTCTGGATCATTGCATCATAACAGTGTCATTATATCTAGCTATTAGAATGGTATAATAGATCAAATGGTTTCTTCCCATGGCTCCACAATCGAGGAAGTCGAGTAGTATGGAAAATGGAGGGGATGGGTAATTCAACATTAAGAAACTGCTATATATACAAAATTATTTGATATGTAGTATTTGTTATTAAAAGGCGGGATTTTTATCAGTTCAACATGCTTGATATTTATTCTGAAGATAACAAGAGAGTAAAAAGAGCACCAAATAGTATAAAGTTGTCAACTTATTGAACACAATTTGTTGATCACCTTATAATTTAAGTGCTGAGAGTAGTTCAATTGATGAGCTTGAATTCATTTTAAATATGGGATGGACTTGAAGCGGTTCCTTTTGCCTTCTTGATTTTTTTAAAGGTTTAAGGTTTTTCAAAGAAACTAAACTCAAGCGTGTACTGCCAGCAAATGCTTATTTCCCCTTATCACCCCTTCTTGAGCTCTCTCTCTTTGAAAATCCTATTCTTTTCTATCCTAATTTTAGTTTAAAATGTTGCTTTTTTGGGGTTTATCTTCTGTATCTTAAAATCCAACTCTATGGGCTTGGGAGTTGGCATCACACTCTATTCCAAGTGTTCCAACACTAATATTTGAGGTTCTTCAGGTAGAAGGGACACCAGAAAGGCCAAGACTCTGTGTTTTCCGCTCCAACAAGCATCTCTATGTGCAAGTAATCGATGATACAAAAATGCACACTCTTGCTTCAGCTTCTACAATGCAGAAACTTATATCAGAGAGCATTGACTATTCATCAGGTCCTACAATTGTAAGTATATTGTCTTAGAGACCATTGCTTTATATCTTTTTTACACAGGATTTTATATATGATTATCTTCAGTATCCTGGCTTGCATTTCTTATCCTTTTGAAACACAATGAAGTATGTTGAATTTTCTAAGCTGGTTGAATCCATTATCTAGAATTCGATCATGACAGTTTGTTTAAGGTGACAATTAGCTGTGGCAGGAATCTGGACTTTCCGCTGTAACAATATGTTTTTCGTAGATTGACAGAACATTATTACGGAGGCCGTTTGTAAATAATAACAGGCCACATTTCTAATTTTAGTTCTTTGTAAAAAAGGGTAACTTTGCAAAAATAGTATGTTCTTTGAGACTGTTGACAATCCTACATGGAATGCGTATCTGCCCATTTTTGTTTAAACAAATTTGTGTTGAGTGCAATTTTCTGGAATGCCTTGCTGATTATTTTGTAATTTAATTACAGGAAGTGGCACAGAAGGTAGGTGAAATAATTGCCAAAAATTGTTTGGAGAAAGGAATAACTAAGGTGGCCTTTGACCGAGGTGGTTACCCTTACCATGGACGTGTTAAAGCCCTTGCTGATGCAGCGCGAGAACATGGCCTTGTATTCTGAAGTTAATTGTAACTAAATTCCCCTTCCCGTGAGAAAAAATTTTCCCCAGTCTGCTTAGTTTTGCAGCTGCTTTAGCAAAGAATCGTAGTTGTAATGTTAAAATTTTTTTTTTTTTTTTTGGTACACTAAATGGCATTTGAAGAAGTATCATTGATGTCAATGCATGTAAAATTTACATTTGCAAAGATTGAAGCACGTTTAATTTTCTTGTCATGACTACTAAATATATTAAGTTCTTACTTCTTAGGGCTTGTTCAGCAAAATTAAACACTACCTCCAGGCAATTACGACTGCCAAAACTCTACTTGCCTTAACTGTATAACTGATTGTTTAGTCTAATTATCATGTTAAACCATTAATGCCAGTTGCCAAATACGCCATCAATACAATTTCCACTTAAAAATGGAAGTAGATGGACAGACAGTAAATTTATTTAATCAACTAACAAGCATTCCATGTAAGGCATACTGTTATGTTCAATCGGTTTATGTTACCAAACTAAAATACTGAGCCATCAATTTCATTTTTTTTTTTGGACCGTCTTAACCATACTAATATAAGTGCTAAAAAGGGGATTGGGGGTACAAACATAGTGGATTGCTTGAAAATACAAATAAGGGGTTGAGGGGATTCATCACTAGTATTAGCCATAAGATGTTCCACACTTGATCCCTTGCGTTTCTTGATCCTGCAAAAACAAACTCTGTGATACCTTTTACCTTTCTTGTTCTTCACCCTTGACGTGATAGGCCTTCCATGCTTCCTTGACGAGGCAAAGAACTCGAAGGTAGAGAGTGGTGGAAAGGACTGCTCCTAGTCTGGTTCAAAACTCATGGGGTCTTCTTCAGTAGAACCTATGGATTCCACTTCAGCGATGTCAGTGGTAGTTAAAACTCTCGCAGGTTCCTCACTCCCCTCCTCGATACTTGAACCCTCATTGTTGCTAGAAGTTAGGCAAGTAGATATATGATCATCTAACTTCTCAACAATAGCGGTGCTGGACTTGAACAACATCGTTGACCATGGCGGCATCCATGAATTGCGTGGCCTTTTCCTTTTGGCTCTTCCTAACGCGATTCCTCTTTTCCAGACCACCATCTTAGAGGGCATGAACAAGGTTACAGGAACATTGGAGTCCTTTGCCTTGTGAGCTTCCAGATGCTCATCATGGGAGGTCTTTTCTTTCACTCGTACGGTCATCCATGAAAAAGCAGAACCTTTGAAGAAATTCAAGGTATTCCCTTGATTGAGATCCGAGTAAGACAATTCGGAAATCTTAAGGGATGGATTAACTCTCAATCTGTTGAGGAAGATATGAGTTCTCCTGAACCCTTGTTCTTAGCCTGTCTAGAATCCTAAAAGTTAGGGGGGCTAGTGGCATCATTATCCTCCTTAAGGCTCTCTACCATCATCTCACTAGCAGCATCCATGGTGGTTAAGTTTGTAACACCACTCTCAACATCGCTACTAAACAACCTATCAGATTCTAGATTGACAGAAGGCTTGCTCATCTTTCCCTTTTTGTTGAGAAAGGCGTGGGACAGGTCGAAATCCTCGGTCCCTCTCTTGCCCTTGAGCTTGCTAGTTCTGCTTCTTAGATCCTCCACTATTTCCATCTCACAGAGGATGTCTTGGTTGTTAGGCTCAGCCTTGGCTGCTTTGCCAAGGTCTTCATGGGCCTCTTCAAGTTGATTGAGCTTGATCTCGGCTAAAGCTCTTCTGTAAAATGCTTTCGTGTTGTTTCCATCAAGCATGATGACAATCGAGCAGATCTCCTTAGTTTTTTAATAATCACAAACCTTTAGGGCGCAAGCTGCAAGGTTTAACTCAAGGGATATGACAAGGTTCCATAATGGAACACTATCATCTTCATTTCTCGGAAGTACAAAACACAATAATTTCAGTCCTCTGTCATATTTAGCCCCAGGAAAAACGACTTCACCTTTCTTAAAAAGGATATTGCCCTCCTCCTTCAAGACCTTAGCTTGATTTAGGATATTTCGGGGGGCAATTATTAGAAGCAAAGTTGACAATGCTTTTATCATAATCGTAGTTGAAGTGTGTGTGCATAAGGGCGATATTCAATTTTTTTGGCAATCCATAACAAACTTATGAAGAAAAGGATTGACTAAGAAAAAACTTCAACAAAAGGAACTCACGAACAACACCAAGTTGTAAATAGTAAAGAGAAACAAAATTGAGGGAAAACCCAATTAAAAGAACCTAACTAGAAGCTGAAGAAAGGAAACGCTATATAACAGTCGGAGAACGGAGTCCAACCACAACCAGCTGGAGAAAAGGCAAATCAAAACAAATACACCAAACGGTAATCGGAAACTACCACTAGCGACCACATCCGCGGAGATAGGCAAGAAGCACAACCAATACGACATTGGTTTGTTTCTCAAGGGGCATAAACTGCCAGCTGACGGAGAACCCGCCAACTGGGTTCACGGTCGGAGAACCACCACTATCGATCCGTCACCGAAAGAGGCGATACCCAGGCCAGGTCTAGCACCGTTAGCTAAAGCGAAAAACAAAACCCGCGGCTGGTTACGACGGCTCGAAATAACGACCACCGGGTGAGGCTTGACAGGGGGTTTGCCGGCGATCGAGGAGCAAGCCAACCCACTCTAATCGCCGGCGACCCGTCAGATTCCTGCTAGTAGGGGAAGAGCTGGTTTTTGTAAAACCAGGGGCTCGATTTTACTTTTTTGGGGTTTTCAAAAAAGGCGCGAGAGGCGCGTTCTGTTGCTCCTTTCTTAGTAGCCATCAATTTCTATCACTAAGCTAAATCCTCATCAGTAAATAAAATATCTTATGCGATGAAGGTCTAGATTGAAAACAAATGACATCCAAAAACAACTTACGCGGAGATTGTCTTTGTTGTACAGGTTCAGTATTTACACCAATTTGATTGCCCTAAAGTTTGAATAGCCAACTTCCAACAAGGATAGGTGACTCAGATATTACATTTCCAACAAATCAGAGAATTTTCTCGATAAATATAATTCCACACCAGAACACAAACAATAACCTGAGGAATTGGTCTCAATCGAGACAACCATCAATAAGCTGGTCTTGATCAAGACAGCCAAATACTAGTCTTGTTTAGCAGCAGCAGATTCACCAGGCAGGTCTAAACCACAGCTGCTAACAAGCCTTAGTGTAGCAGTTTCAGTCTCGGCTGGCAGATCTACGTCACAGCTGTTAACAAGCTCTAGTTTAGCAGTTCCAGTCTCAGCTGACTGGACTAAGTCACAACGGCTAACAAGCCTCTCAACAGCAACCTTCATCACATCACGCCTCACTCCAATGTCAGCCACCAGCCTGCTAACACAGTACATACCACATCCCACGGCTGCCAACCCACTACAGCTAGTGGTTAAGAATCTTAGTGGGGAAGAGACAATTGCACTCACAGCAGCTACAAAAGCCGTGGCTTGTCCACTTCGCCCCACACTTATGTCTGTTACCACAAGCAAACCCGTCTTGCAATATATGGCAAAGTGCTCACAGTTATTCCTGAAGATGTTGTAACCACCAAAACCATTCTCTAAGAGAAAGGAAGCACGGGATAGAACATCTTCTGGAGGGTCTGAGGGGGCCAACGTGCAGGTTCCACCACGTGCCTTTGCAAGGAAGAAAGCAGGTGTTACCTTGTATTCAAAGAGATAAAGCTCGCCATCCCAGAGGAAACAGTCAAGACAGGATGAAATGACACCACTGAGGTTTGATTGGTCACCACATACAGGGCACGGACTTTTTGTACGATCAGAGGAAGCTGATGAGCTGAAGACAATATTGTCTAGAAAAGTTCCTGTGCCTATTTCCTGGCCTGGTCCTCTTGTAAAGTGGATAACTTTTCCCTCGCCAGCATATATGCCTGTCGAAATTTACACCAAAGCCAGATAAGCACTTGCAAGTTCTGCAAGAACATGTTAATAAAAATAATAAAAACAAAAAGAACAAGACACCCATAAAGGTCTCATCCAAGAATCACGCAGTAAATGGACCTAAATCACAGTGGCTAAAAGATGAAGCTAATTTATCAGAACTGCGAGTTCTTTCGAAAATCCTACCAAGTCTTGATGTACAACGTTTTGATTTTACTCCAAACTTTAATTCTTGTTAGAATTAAGAGGAGTTAGACTATCTACTTCCTTAAAGGCATAATTAAAATCAACAGTGACAAAAGCGCTTGAGACTTGAGAGCCTCATTTACCTTAAGGAATAAGGATACACATAAGGGTTTCACTTTCAAGTTTCCTTCAAGGTAATACGTCTAGATAGCTCACCCTTGATGGTTAAACAATATTTCAATCAAACAGACCAATGGTACTGTGCCCTGGGTCTAGAAGCACGGCATAAGCAACCTTACACATCCAATTTATCAAAATTTAACTTATACCATGAATTAATAGTTCCCACTTAACTCTTCAATAAAAAAGTGCTATAGACTAGGAAAATCAGAATACTAATGCACAGCAAGTAACTAGCAAATAGAGGAAAGCTTGAGGAATTTTGATTGATAATGGAAGTAACGGCTACAAGGAACGACAGAGTTACTACTTCTCTTGAGGAATACTACAACTACTACTACTCTACTACAAAATTCTCCAATAACATGAACCTACTGTTTCATTGCTCATCCTTATATATCAAGCTCTCCCTCACAAAAGTACTCTCACATTAAACAAGAAAAGAATGATGTAACAACATTCCCTTCCTTAGTCCAAGATAAAAAGTTGATAATCAATACTTTCATACCACAACCATTTTCTCTAGTCAAGGAATGTAAATTTTTAAAGACTTAAATTTCTGACTTTCCATTGTGTCAGCCCTGAACCAGCACTACATGGCTATATCCTCATAAATGGATAAAAGGTAACTCCATACCAGAATGAACATCATCTAGTTTTGAACAAACATAAACCAAATCACAGAGATATAATGTATGACAAGCAGTGATATCTAAACTTTAAACTACAAGCAGTGATTCGAGGTGAAGAGCACAACAAAACCATGTATACATCTAGAAACAAAGTGATAATCGTACCATTACTGTTGTTTAATTACTGAACAACCCAAATACTACTTCTGATTAGAGCAAATGGCAGACTATATTAAAGCTACCTTCATACTGAAGAAAATTACAGAACATAACCTCAATCACGCTGATTCGTGTATAGTTGCGCGAGTATCATACGGTTCTTATCCTCAGGTAGTCAGGCCAAATAAAAGTCCAACATACTGGTCAACTATATTCTACAAAATGATCCATAACTCAATGACCGAAACCCGGAGAATCACATACTTCGTGCATCATGTGATTCATATCAATCCAACAAATAAGCTGAAACTAATCAGCAATAATTTGTGATTAATTTCCCATCAAGTGCTCCCAATAAATACTTGTTTAGTTACAAGATCAAAAGCTTATAAAACACAATTTCATAATACAGATAAAATTAATAAATACCCTTTGTCAAAACCTCAATAATGTTTCAAAGTACTAGATTTCATTATCATAAAACTAAAGATAACAAAGTCTAAAATTAGAAAGTTCCAGAAAAAGCCAAAATTAGAAAGAAACAATTAAAACCCAATTCCCACAAACATGTAAAAATCCCAAACAACATTTTAACTTCTACCCATTAAATTACTAAAATTGATTTAAAAGGGTTTTCAATAATTTCGGCTACATTGCTTTAATTAGAAAAGGGTACAAAATAAGGAAGAAAAAACCCACAAAATTACAAAAGTAAAATACAAATTAATTAAGAAAAAAACCAGAAAAAGAGGAGAGAGGAGAAAAATACCATGATGAGAGTAAAGATAGGCGTTTCTCCAAGAATAGATGTGATCTCCGGGTTTCAGGACTTCCTTTGAAATCTTATTCGAAAAAATTCCCATATTTTTTAATCCCTTTTTCTGGTTTTCTTCTTTCTCTGAAAAGTGGGGAAAAACTGCAAATCTATGAAAATGCAAAATTTAAATCCAAAGTTCCCAAATTTATTGTTTCCTTCGTAATTAAGGCAGCAACAGAAGTTTTTTACGCTAATTTAAGATTTGATAATTAGATGAAGTGTAATTCTTGATTGAGTTTACCCTTTATATTACTGTATTATTTCTTTTTGGGAAATTCTCAACGATGACCCAGCTTTTTCACACCAATGGTTACCTCCCTTTTTTTAATTATACAAAATGACTTTAGTTAAAAATTTCATCTCACTCGTAACCTTATTTTATTAATTATTAATTATGGTTAGATTTGTAATTTTTTTAAAAAAGATTAAAAAAATTAACCCCAACCACCAAAAACCAGCCACACCCACCTGCCAGCCACCATCACCCTTTCCGGCGACGCTACCCTAGGTTTCTCCGACCGCCAGCGATGCTACTCAGGCTCCCCGTCCGCTAGTGACGCTGCGCCAGCTCTACCTCGACCATCGCCAATCAGATTCCCAAATCCGCACCCACGACCCTCACTCTCTCTCTCCTCCTTCTCACGTAACCACCTCTAAATCGCCGAACTCAGATTCCCGACCACCCCCAGACCATCAAATTAGCCAGATTCGACCACCGATCGATCTCTCTCTCTTTCTTCTCCGCCTCTCCTTCATCGATTTCTCTCAGATCCCCGCCCAGAATTGAAACCTCAAACCCTAAACCCACCACCCCTCCTCGACCAAAACCAACCCCACGGCGAGAATCGAAGGTCAAAGGAGAGAAAGTTGTGAGGTTAGGGTTCGGGTCTAGGCGGTGGAGGGTGGAGGCGATGGTTCAGCGGTTTGGTGGCAGGTTGGCGTTTTCAGATGAGGGGTTCGGTGGCTCCGGTGAAGGTGGAGGTGGTGCTGGTCTGGCTACGTTTGGTGGGGATGAGGGTGGAGGTGGTGGCTAAGATGGTGGTTTTTCTTTATAGTTTTTTTATTTTTCAAAGCTAACCATAGTTAGTTTTTTTTAACTAAATAACACTTATTAATGTCATACGTGAGATAAATTTCATAATTAGGGTCATTTTGTATAATAAAAAAAAAAAAGGAGGTCACCATTGGTGCGTAGCAAAAGTTGGGGGTCACCATTGAGAATTTCCTTTTTTTTTTTTTGAATAACCCTTTATATTATTTGTATTATACCATGTATATTCCAATTAGGATTTAAGAATACTTAAATACCCCGTAGTGTTTCACAAGATCCTGTTGCTGAATGCTAATACATACAGTAGGAAATTGCCCATTTGGATAGCCTAAGGACCCATTCTATTAAGCCGTATGAATAATTTCAGTTCATAAAATATAAGTTCGGTTCAACAAAAATAAGTTCAATTTAGTAAAATTAAATTATAATCAGCAAAGATCGATAACTTCAAGGAAAAAATGTATAAGAGAATCAATAAAAATAATTTTTATTCGGCAAAAAATAATATCAGCTCAGTAAATTTAGTTCGGTAAAAATAATTTCGGTTTAGTAATAAGGTAAAGAAAACAAGACCTAACTAAATTTATCAGTTTTTTTTTTACTTTTTAAAAAATACAATAGGAAATTTCTAAAATTATATCTTATTCTCTTTCTAAATTTTAATTGTTCAAATATTGTACTTGATAGGGTCGTAAAATATATTATTTATATATGTTAAACTCTTTATTTTATATTGACATTTAATGATTTAAGGGTATATTAAGCAACTTTCTTCCCGAGACATGAGTTAATACTATTTTATTTATTTGGTTGTAGGAAGGAAGATTACGGCATCAAATTACATTTTTACAAACCGTTCGGATCAAAAGAAACAAAGGCCACAAGACGAGATTAAGTTACATTTGTTTCAAGCCCAATAAGATATTATTGTGAACGGGCATACTAGAGAAAAGAGAGCTACATACTCATCAAATCTTTTTCTTTTTCTTTCGATGAGCAGTGAGGTAAATCTCTTGAGCGATTTTCGCGGGTACCGAATTGTCAAGCAAGAGATGATAAAGATAAAATTAGATAATTATTGAAGCGAAAAATTCGGATTAGTTAGGGATCGAAGACTCTTATTGATATACATGGGGCTGGCAAATTGGAGGGATTATCATAGTGATACAACCACGAATGCTGATGCTAGTGCCATACATGTGACCACAGGGAATGAGACTGCTCGTGCAATGCACATGGTCAGAGAAGATACAATGAATGCTGCAAATCAAACAACTGGCAGTGCTGAGTTGGAAGGAATTATTCTAGAAAGGGAATATTAGCGAACAAACTCCCATATTTACGCTTTTCTGTTATTTTAACTATTTTCCTTGTAATTAAGGCTATTATAAAAGCCATTAGTGAAGTATGTAATAGTTATCAGAAATCAATACAATATTCCCACCTTCCTCTCTCTATCTCTCTGCCTTTGTAATATCATTAATACATTAGTCAAGATCCTTGTGATTTCCCTTCATTCTATCGGATTATCACTGGAATTAATTAATCACAGCACTCATCTCTTCATTGAGGTTGGGTTGTTATACTTTATTCATTCATACAAAATTACTATTCCATCGAAACGCTGTTGCTTACCTTAATTCCCTTACTACTGTTCAGTTCAATTGCCTGTAGGAATTGTGACTGGATTTTGCTGGATTATATCATTGGTATCAGAGCAGTACGATTCTCGGATTCAATATGCCACCCAGAAAGAACCCCGACCAAACAGATGAAGGTGAAGGCATCACCCAGGCTGATATGCAGAAACTTGAGGTAACCTGAAAAACCTACTGGAAGCTCAGGGTAAAGAACTAGCTGATTCTTGTAAGAATAATAATGTAAATATTGATAAGAATACTAAGTCCATTGTTGATTTGAATGATTTAATCGTTGGTCTATCTATGCAAGTAACGAAACTAGTGAATGATAAACGAGGTGAAAAAGGGGATAGCTCTCGGAGTATGGTAGAAAAATATGGAAATAGCCCTGGCCCTTTTTACTCCACTAGGTTAACCAAGATAGAATTTCCTAAGTTTAATGGAGAAAATCTGAAGTCCTGGATTTACAAGTGCAATCAGTTTTTTGATCTTGATAATGTGCCTGACATTCAAAAACTGAAGTTAGCTGCCATTCACCTTGAGGGTAAGGCTTTATTGTGTCATCAAGCTTATGCCAAGGATAACCCTCCATTAACGTGGGATCAATATGTTAATGATATTACTAGTAGATTCGGTGATTTATATGACGACCCCATGGCTAAGTTAAAGGCTCTTAAACAAGTTGGCAGCGTGCAAGAGTACCATGATGCTTTTGATGAGATAGCCAGTAGGTTAAACATGTTTGTAGAGTACCTCCTAAGTTATTACTTGGGTGGATTAGAGGAAGAAATCTAGCTTGCAGTAAGAATGTTTCATCCCACAACCCTACAGCAAGCCCATTACCTTGCTAAATTACAAGAAGCCTCCATTAGAGCCAGGAAACCCACAAAAATCCCACTAAAACCATCACTACACCTTCTTTCCAACCCCAAAAACACCCCAAACACTTACCAGACCACAAATAAACCTAACCTTAACAGAAGGATTCTTACTGCTGCTGAAATGAATGACAAAAGGTCAAGGGGTCTTTGCTTTTGGTGTGATGAGAAATATGAAGTAGGGCACAATTGCAGGGGTAAAAGACCTAGGCTCTACCATATTGAAGTTGAGGGTGGAGAAGAGGAGCTAGAAGAGGAGCAGGAGACATTAGAGGAAGTGATAAATGAGTCAGCAAGTGCTCAAATATCTCTACAGGCCCTTGATGGCGTAAGCACTTTCCATACCATGAGGATGAAAGGATTGATAGGGAAGAAATGTTTGCATATTCTTCTTGACACTGGCAGTACACATAATTTCATTGACACTCCCACAGCTTTAAAACTCAGTTATAAGGTGGAAGGTGTGCCACCCATGTCGGTCAAGGTGGCAGATGGGGGGCAATTAAGGTGTGATAAGGTGGTGAAGGATTTGGAATGCCAAATGCAGGGCTATAAGTTTAAGGCTGACTTCTTACTCCTCCCCTTAAGTGGAAGTAACGTGGTCTTAGGTGTGCAATGGTTTGCAACCTTAGGACCTATCCTTTGGGATTTTAAAAATCTGGTGATGGAATTCAAAAATGAGGGGCACAAGGTGAAGCTGAGGGGTGCTACTTCTAAAAAGCTTTCAGGCATTCAGTCATTACAACTTTCCAAATTAACGAATCACTCCGATGAACTGACTATGCTGCAGGTGATACCGGGAATTGAACAAATCAGAATCCAGAGTGTTGAAATGTCTGGAAAAACTCCACCTCACCCAGCCATGCAGGCACTGCTTGCTAGATTTGCTGATGTCTTCTCTCCTCCAAAGGGCCTTCCTCCTGCTAGGGCTCACTTTGATCATAGGATCCCACTGAAGGAAGGCACTGATGTAATCAATCAAAGGCCATACAGGTATCCTGCTGGTCAGAAGATTGTTATTGTGGAATTGGTTTAAGAAATGCAAGAACAAGGCATTATTAGGGATAGTAATAGCTCTTTTGCTGCCCCTGTAGTGCTAGTGAAAAAGAAAGATGGTGGTTGGAGAATGTGTGTGGATTACAAGGCCTTAAACAAAGCTATAATCAAAGATAAATTCCCTATACCCATTATTGAAGAATTTCTAGATGAGCTGAAGGGTATAACTTATTTCTCCAAAATTGACCTCAAATCTGTATACCATCAAATTAGGATGCATCCTAATGATATACACAAAACAGCATTTAAAACTCACTTTGGCCATTTTGAGTACTTAGTTATGCCCTTTGGGTTAACTAATGCCCCCTCAACTTTCCAGGCTTTAATGAACTCAGTCTTTAAAGTTTTTCTTCGGAAGTCCGTTCTTGTGTTCTTTGATGACATCTTGGTATATAGTACTACATGGGAGCAGCACTTGCAACATGTTCAAGCAGTGCTAGAGACTATGAGATAAAATTCACTGCAAGGAAACCTCAGCAAATGTTCCTTTGGCTTCACAGAGGTGGTATACCTAGGACATATTATTTCAGCAGAAGGTGTGAGAACCAAACCGGATAAAATCAAGGCAATACTGGAGTGGCCTCTACCTAGGACACTCAAGCAATTAAGAGGATTCCTAGGGCTCACTGGATATTACAGAAGATTCGTCAAAGATTATGGAAAAATTTGCAGGCCTCTAACCAACTTGCTGAAAAAAGAGGCTTTCAAATGGAATGAGGAAGCAACCGAAGCATTCACGGACTTAAAAAAAGCTATGACGTCCCCACCTGTGCTAGCATTGCCTGTCTTCCACAAACCTTTTATCATTGAGACTGATGCATCAGGCATTGGGCTAGGAGTAGTGTTATTACAAGAAGGGCATCCTATTGCATATGTTAGCAAGGCGTTGTCAGAAAAGAACTTGCATCTCTCGGCTTATGAAAAAGGAATTAATGGCAGTAGTTTTTGCTGTGAAAAAGTGGCACCACTATTTGATGATGATGCCTTTTATTGTCAAGACTGATCAACAAAGCCTGAAATATCTCCTTGATCATAAAGTGGTCACCCCCTTCCAACAGAAATGGTTCTCCAAATTGGCAGGCATGAATTATATTATTGAGTATAGGAGTGGGAAAGAGAATAAAGCAGCAGATTCCCTAATTAGGCTCCCTGAGCCTCAACTGATGCAATTGTTAGCATCAAGCATTCGCTCTTCTTTAATGGAAGAAATATAGCTCACTTGGAAGAATGACCCCAATGTACAGAAAATTATAAGGGAGCTACAAGACAAGTCAGTGTTACATAAACACTACTCATGGGAAGCTGAACAATTAAGAAAAAAAGGAAGGCTGGTGATAGGAGATAGCAATGATCTCAAGGTCAAAATCTTGGCTTGGATGCATTATTCTCCTATGGGGGGACATTCGGGGGTCGAAGCGACACTCAGGAGAGTGAAGACTCTGTTTTATTGGGCTGGTCTTACGAAGAGTATCAGGAATTATATCAAAAAATGTACCATCTGCTAGAGCAGCAAATATGATACTTCTCCTTCCCCTGGTCTTCTGCAGCCCTTACCAATACCAGAGAGAGTGTGGGATGATGTTACCATGGATTTCATTGAGGGGTTACCTACCTCTTTAGGTAAGCAAACTATCATGGTTGTCATTGATAGGTTGAGCAAGTATGCTCACTTTATTCCATTAACGCACCCCTTTACAGCCATTAAGGTTGCTCAAGCCTATGTTGACTCCATTTACAAATTGCATGGCTTCCCAAAAACCATAATCTCCGATAGAGATAAGGTTTTTATCAGCACATTTTGGTCTGAACTTATGGAAAGGCTGGGCATACAGCATAATCTCTCAACTGCTTACCACCCTCAGACAGATGGTCAATCTGAGGTTCTCAATAGGTGCCTTAAGACCTATCTTAGGTGTATGTGTGGGGATATGCCTCATGACTGGGCTAGATGGCTACCACTAGCATAATACTGGTATAACACTAATTATCACACTACAATACAGATGACTCCCTATGAAGTTATGTATGGTCAACCCCCACCCACTCATATACCTTACTTGACAGGGGTTAGCAAGGTTGAAAGTGTGGACAGGAGTTTGCGACAGAGGGAAGCTACTCTCCTATTACTCAAGGAGCACCTCAAAGCTGCCCAAAATAGGATGAAGTAACTGGTTGATAAGCATAGAAGTGATAGATCCTTTGAGATAGGGGACTGGGTGTATCTAAAACTGCAACCATACAGGCAGCAATCCGTGGAGATTAGAGCAAAAAACTTTGGACCCTATTTAATTATCAGGAAGATAGGGAAGGTCGCTTACACCTTGCAACTGCCACCTCACTCCAAGGTACACCCCACTTTCCATGTTTCTCAACTCAAGGCGTATCATGGTCCTCTCCCACCTCCAGTTGATCCATCAGCCTTCTCCAATCCTACTCTGGATGAAACAAAAGTATCCAATAGCCCTCATCAACAAAAGAAGTGTCAAGAGGTGCAACATAGCAGTTGTTCAATGGTTGATTCAATGGTCAGGAAGTGCCCCTGAAGATGCTACGTGGGAAGATGCTGTAACAATTGAGCAGAACTATCCTGCTTTTGATCCTTGGGGACAAGGATCCTCTCAAGGGGAAGGCTTTGATACAACCACGAATGCTGATGCTCGTGCCATACATGTGACCACAGGGAATGAGACTGCTCGTGCAATGCACATGGTCAGAGAAGATACAATGAATGCTGCAAATCAAACAACTGGCAGTGCTGAGTTGGAAGGAATTATTCTAGAAAGGGAATATTAGCGAACAAACTCCCATATTTACGCTTTTCTGTTATTTTAACTATTTTCCTGGTAATTAAGGCTATTATAAAAGCCATTAGTGAAGTATGTAATAGTTATCAGAAATCAATACAATATTCCCACCTTCCTCTCTCTATCTCTCTGCCTTTGTAATATCATTAATACATTAGTCAAGATCCTTGTGATTTCCCTTTATTCTATCGGATTATCACTGGAATTGATTAATCACAGCACTCATCTCTTCATTTAGGTTGGGCTGTTATACTTTATTCATTCATACAAAATTACTATTCCATCGAAACGCTGTTGCTTACCTTGATTCCCTTACTACTGTTCAATTGCCTGTAGGAATTGTGACTGGATTTTGCTGGATTATATCACATAGTTATATTTTGGGGAATTTTCTGAGCGAGGTTCAGTGGGGTAAAATTGATGAACTTCATCTGAATTTGGCGAGGTATCTAGCAGGGGATAAGCAAGACGAACTAGTCGAGGCGACTCGGTTCAGCTTGTGTTTACTCTGATTCTTACTAGAAGATTTGGTACTGTATTTATGTTTTCATTTTCTTTCATTCGATTTCAGCCTTGGTTTATCTTGAATTAGAAGTAGTATAAGTTTTGCTTTGGAGAATAAAAATGAAAGTTTGTGCTTTTACTTTGTTATTTTGCTCATGAATGCGTCAGTACTAGCTGGTATGCAATTTGCTATATTAATTTAATTATTAGCTTAATTTTCATTTATTTGCTTTGTTAATTATTTTGATTATGAATTTTATGTTCGACTATTTCACCAAAAGTCACTGAGTACTTACGAAATTCACCGAATGCCATCGCGTTTTTCAGAATTCACCAAATGCCACTGAGTTTTACAAAAATTCACCGAGTGTCATTAATGACTGACAACCGTTAGTTAACCGTTGGTTGACCCCACCACTTGCCACGTGTCACCTTCTGATTGGTCCGTTTTAAAAAAAAATTAATTTTTTTTAAAAAATAAAGAATTTAAAAAACCAAAAAAATTAAAAATCAAAAAAAGAAGAGGAGGAGAGAGAAAATGAGGAACAACCGTCCTTCCTCCACAATCTCCCCCTCCGGTCAGCCTCCTTTCTTCCCCCTCCACGATTTCCAACCCCCTTCCTCAATCTCCGGCAACCGTCGCCTCACTCCGACCACCTTCTCATTCCGGCGAACTTACACATTTTCTTTCTCGCGTCTCTCTCTCTCTCTCAGTTCTCCATTGTAGCGCTTCCTCCTCCCCGATTTCGAGGCCCCCTTCCTCCACAATCGGCGGAGATTCCTCTCGTTCATCGGAGAAATTCGCTTGGTGGGTTGTTGCTCATTCATTCCCCTTCTCCTCCTTCCTTCGACGAATTACATTGGGGGTTTTTGCTCATGAAGAACCCTAAAAAATTGAATTGGGGGTTTTTATTTGGTGAAGCAATCCACATAATTGTTTGTTCCAATTGATTGTATGTTGAATTGTGAACATTTTGGTACAAGTTTAATGCAATTTGGTGAAGAAATGAGTATTCCTCAAGCTTACCGACGAAGCCCCACCCTTCAAAATAACTGTTCATCATCTTCAAAGAAGAAACTGGTTCATATTCAACGGTTCATCATCTTCGTTTTCGGTTTCGAAATCTGGTTGGTTCTTCTTCGTGGTCCCATTTGTAGAAACCACTATTATTTTAAAACGTTATCCCTGTTATTGGTTGTTCGTTTTTTGGGTTTCAAGAAACCAATTTCCAGACATTTTTTTAAAAAAAAAACTCCACCGGAGATAATGATTCTGTTGGAACTAGATGGGCGGATTTGATTGTTGGGTCTAATGGGAAGATGATCGTTGCAATCGATGAGACTGGGTGCTTTTGCTGGTGATTACGATGCTATAATGGAGAAGGTGAAGGTGAAGTTGGCGGAGGCGGTCAGGGTGGGGAGTAGGGTGGTTGGTTTTAATTTGGTGGTTTTTTTTTTTAATGCCACCGAGTAATTTGGTGGTTTTTTTTTTTTTATTATTATTTTTTTTAATTTTTTTTAAATATTTTTGGTTTTTTTTTTAATTTTTTTTAAAAACGTACCAATCAGCAGATGACAAGTGGCAAGTGGTGGGGTCAACCAACGGTCAACTAACGCCCGTCAGTCATTAATGGCACTCGGTGAATTTTTGTAAAACTCAGTCGCATTTGGTGAATTCTGAAAAATGCGATGGCATTTGGTAAATTTCGTAAGTACTCAACGGCATTTGGTGAAATAGTCGTTTTATGTTTTCTATTATAGTAACCTCAATATTTGTTATGTCAGGCTAAATTGAGTAGGGAGGTAAGTTATGTATTGGATTATTGGATTGTGAGAATAGATATGTTGTAATTCTTGGGTATTATGTTTATTTCTTAATTGGTTTGATAATCCGTTTGAATATTACGAACTAGTTGATTATATTTGAGATTGGCCATCTTTGGTGTAATTTGCTAATTTGACGACTAGAGTATTAACTTGGATCCGTAATTGTCCTAGTTGACACCATTAGTAGTAGTTAGGTGTTTGATTGGTCACTAAAACTTGTCATAATCAACCGTTTGAGTTGTACAAGTCCGAGCTTGTGAGAATTGTAGCTTAAGTTAACTACTTTCTTGTTTTTAATGTTGATAAGAGTCTAGAGAGCTTGTTCTAGATTATATTAGTTATTTAGACAATGAGTCAAGAGTTTGTTTGGTTTATTTGCAATTAAGGGAAGTTTTGAATACTTGTATGTGTTCATTAGTTAATATTAAGATATAGGCATGATTTATATTATTTGATGATTAATTGATACTCAAATGCTATAATACACCTCCTGCTCCCTATTTCATTATGTTTGATTTGTTTATCTCTTAGTTTTATTATTTTTCATTTCGTTTAGTATGTAGTATTTTTTTTCTCTTAAATTTATCGTCAAAACAGGGGTTTCTAATTTACACAAGTAATAATTTGATAATCCAATTCTATGTGGGATTGAACCTAGCTTACCCTACTACATTTTAGGAGGCTTAGTTAGGTTTATTTTTGGTAGACACACGAGTTTTAGGGAAGATAAACTCTAATTACTTCATATGAATATCTTTGAAAAATTATTAATGAAAAGGAAAATTTGTTGAAAACCATATTTTAAAAACCAAATTTTGTTGAAAACCATCTTATAATTTTTTTTTTTTTTTTTGTCAAAGCACACCTGTTTTAAATTTTTTTTGTCAAGTCCCACCACTCCCCGGATTCCAATTATTGACTTACATTTTCGGCGTTGACTAGCATGTGCACCTTACGTGACCCAACCCCACTCTTCTTTTGTTTTTTCCCCCTTTTCCCTCCCTTCACTTCCTTTGACCAAAAAAAAAAAAGAAAAAGAAAATAAATAAATAAATTATAAGATGGTTTTCAACAAAATTTGTTTTTTATAAGATGATTTTCAACAAATTTTCCTAATAAAAAACTTATTCATAAGGATTGATTCGTTTTGATGTGTAGTCTATTACACCCTCCATTCCCATATATTTGACTCGTTTTGACTTTAATCATACTTGGTAAGTTTGACTACCAATATCTTTAATCTTACTTATTAACATAAAAAAAAATGTGTGGTAAAGTTTGCAAAACTCAAAGCGTGTCAAGTATTCAAAATTAGAGGGAGTAAATTTAGTTTCGTTTACTTGCAAGAGTTGCAACACAATCTTATGGCATGCAATAAAAGATTTAATAATGTTTGCACATTTTCTCAAAAATAAAATAAAATAATGTTTGCACATAGTACCTAATCTTTCCTTATCCCGAGCATAAAATTATAAAGTCGCTCATATACTTGATCATTGCTACCTATAAGTATGTGCCTTGGAACTATGTCGCTAATTAACATTTAGGGTGTGTTCTATTCATCTGATTTTCACTTATCTGAACTTAACTGAACTTATCTGAACTTAACTTAACTTATATGAACTTATTAAAACTTATTTTAGTTGTAATTTGAACTTGGGTAACCCTTATTAGAACTTATTTTTCCTGAACTTAACTTATCTAAACTTATATGAACTCATCTGGACTTATTTGAACTTATCAGACCTGAAATAAGTGAAAATAAGATGAACAGAACAGACCCTTAATCAAATCTTAAAAGTGTGTGCCTTGAGCCTATGTTGTAATTAATATAAAAAAAATGGAGGATGATAATGTTGTTTAATATACTACCTCTATATCATACTCTGTATTATGTGTAACAACGGACTTGCACGGACTCCTTGGTAGAATTTGTTTGTGAGTGTTGAATGGAGAGAGAAAAGATAGTGATGCATGTGATGAAGAGAGAGATAGAGAGAAATGATGACTTAAAAAGGAATGAAAACATTTGCTACACATAATTTATAGCAACCACTTTTAGTAAATATTGCACATAATATGAAACGGGGGTAATCTGTGTTGAAAACATTGAAAAAAGACAAATGAGACATACTCAATATAACAAATGGAGTATATCACAATCTTAGTAAAATTTACTTGTAATTTTTTTGTTTTTTTATTAATTAATGTGTATGTAAGATAACAATAGTTATACTCATATAAGTTATTAGGAAAATATTATTCGATTTGATTATGTATAATATCTTCTCTTTATTTTATGAATATGTTTAATAGTTCACATATTAGGCCTCCTATTAGGGGCCCAAACTACAGGCTATTAGCTTAGAGGATAATGAAATGATGATTATGCCTTATATTAATTGCAACACTCTTATTAATTTGAATTGAGTTACTATTTTATTAAAAAATTTGTTGGTACATAAGGCACAATCCTTAATTGAACTTTCTCATTAAGCTTATAATGAAACCTACTACTCCTAGTCCAACTCCTACTATTACTAGTCTAGCTCCAAAACCTTTGGCTCTGATACCATTTATTGGGCTTCTTCCTAATTCTTTTCCATGTGGGACTTGGTCTGGATCAGTCGACATACTAACATTTTATACCCTTGTCCAATTACTTCATAATTGTTATAAATCAGCTTTCATATACACAATAAACAAAAAGCTTAAACATGAATACTCATCAACACACCAAATTATTAATAGTTGCTTAAAATTTGATATGCACATACTACGTATATAATAAGAAACGCTCAAACACCACACACTAATTACGCCCTTATTTTTTTGTATTTTATAAATTAATTAAGTATCTATAAAATTTATTTTAAGAGTTTAAAGTATTTTAATTTAATTATTAAAGGGCAAAAAAATAATTATGATATTGAATCCTTAATCAACTAAGATAGTTTTGGAAAAGAGTTTTAAATGAAAAATTATTTAAAGTTTACTAATGCATTAAAGATAAGAGCAAGGAGGTAACTTCCATCATTGATGACATTTTCACAAATATAAAATCTGATTTTCTAGGTAGCCCATAAATAAGCATGTTTCACGATCAAATTTCACAAAACCTCATTATTTTACCCAATTGCAAATTGATCATCAAAACCCCAAAACTCCAAACCTTGACTCTCTATCTCTTCCTTTGGCTCCCCTTGTCCAGCCGACCACCACCGTGCCACCACCAACCATCGCCAGCGCCACTAGCATGCTCCTAAAAATACTAATTTGCACAACGTTTGTACTCTCATCCACAATTAAATTAAATGAGCGCATTAGACATATTACTTACAAGTTATTATTGTGTAAGATTTTATTAGATTTTTTACAATGCATATTTTCATAATATCATCTTTGTAAATTATTAATAATTGACCATATAAGATAGGAAATTTTGCATAAAACCACCTTTTTAATCTTGTTTTTTTACAATTACCCACCTTATTTAAAAAAAATGTTGCAAAAGGCCACCACTTTTTTTTAAAAATGTTGCAACTTAACACCTATTTGACCAACTGCTCCGGCGTTGACCCAGTCACGTGCCATGCTCGTGACATTAATTAATCCCTAATTCCCCCCCCATTTCTTTTTTCTTTCCTTTTCTCTTTCGATTTCCCTTTTCTCCTCTCCTGGTTCCTCTTTCTTCCTCGCATTTAATCTTCTCGACAATGGCTGAGCATGTAGCATAGTAGACTTGACAGGCAATTTATTGCATTTGGTTGAAATAGTTGCTAGGTAATCCAAATAAGGTAAAAAAAAAAATTGATTTTTCATCTACTATTTTAACCAGGTCTTCAATTTTCGCCTAATTACATCATTTTCTCTGAATTTTTCCCCGAACAATTGTGTTGTCATTCATCAATGGTTAAAGGTACAAGAGGCAAACGCAAGGCTCAATTTGAGGGGGGGGGACCAGATGGGAGATTGAGACATTCGACCTAGGAGTACCAATTTAAGAAAGAAATTAGCAAACCTTAATTTCTGTAATTCGCAATAACAAATTGAATTCAATTAAACGAATTTAATTACCAGAGAAGAGACGAAGAAGAAGATGAACAGAGAAGAAAGAGAAAAAGAAAAAAAAAAACTTACTTGAATTGTTAAGAAGCATCAACAATCTACAATGGAGGAGGAATAGAGATGCGAGGAAGAAAGAGGAATAGAGAAGAGAAAGAAAGAGGAAAGAGGAAAGAGGAACAAGCCAGGGGTGAAAGTGGGAAATAGAAGGAGAAAAAGAAAGAAAAAGGGGGGGGGGGGCTCATTAAATGTCACGTGCCAAAAACGTGACTAGGTCAACGCCGGAGTAGTTAGTCAATTTTCCACTTTCTGGCAATAGGTGGTAAGTTGCAACATATTTTTAAAAAATGGTGGTCTTTTACAACATTTTTTTAATAAGGTGGTTATTGCAAAAAAACAGGATTTAAAAGGTGGTTTTATACAAAATTTCATATAAGATATTATTAGTGGTCAAAGTTGTACATCAGCATGTGTGTCAGTTAAAGTATTGAATCTATTATGAAATGAATGGAGTACATAAGTGTGTGCAGTGATTCGATCATGTTAACCAACTTCATTAGACAAATTGAAATTTCACCACTTTGTAATTTTGCGATGAATTGAAGTTGATCCAAAATTTTGAATTCTATTATCTCAAATTCTGATCATTGATCATGCAGCTCGAGGTATAATTCCCATTGACAATTTAATAATTAATTCAATTGTCAAAAATTCTAATTTTTGTAAGAAGACTAAGAACCCTAACTATGTACAAAGTAATTAATCAATTAAAATTAATGCATTTTATGTAACTTAATTCTCCTTATATTAACATCAAATGGGTCAAAAATACTTATAAAAGATTTTCTCAAACATCAAATGGGTCAAAAATACGTATAAAAGGTTTTCTCAAATCTAATTTTGGATTTTGTTGGAGAAATTTATGTCACTTTCAAAAGAAATTTCATTTAATTGGAATATGAGTTAAGCTAGTGAATT